ATTGTCTCTCTTGGTTTCTCCTTGGTGACTTGTGGCAAAAGAAAAATTGGGGTTTATTTCTCTTGTAAGTTTATCGTCTTTAATGTATCTCGGTGTAGAGTTTCTTCAGTGTATCTGGGGGTAGAGAGAGAAGAAAAGAGAGAGAAGTGAGAGCAACGAAGTGAGTGAGAGATTCCTCTTGTAAGTTGAGGTGATCGACTAGTGTAAATTCCTCAAGTAGTAAAATCCTCTACAACTCCGTGGACGTAGGCAATTTGTCGAACCACGTAAATCTGTGTGTTCTGCTGTGTTACTATTTTTTTGTGTGAATTTTTCTCTTTCTATTTGTCGATTTGTCAATCATTCTCCTGTTTGATTTATATATATACCACATCAACTGATTGTGTATATCATATCTAGATCTCGCAACATCAGTGATTAAGCATTCATAATTACGTGATAGTGACTAGACGGTGACAATCTGATAATGGTAATCGATCAATGACAGCTGGTGGCCATGGTTAGGTAGTGAAGGTGTAACCGCACCACAAAAATCTTCAGCACTTCATCAGACGATCCAAAATCGTATGCTTAATCATAAGATATTTTTTAATGTATTAGTGCCTTAAAATTAAAAAAGAATTAACAATGAAGAAATTTAGAATAGAACTATCAAATCTCATTATATTAAATTATTTAAAAAATGAGTAAATCAAATAGAATCTAGACATAATTTCATTATCATAGAATTTTTGTATCGCTTGGAGACTAAACCAAACCTTGCACGCCATTACCTAATATTATACTCCTCCATTATCTTACAAAGATATCATATCTCATGTAATAGCTCGAATATATAAATATTAATTTTTGTATCATAATTTAAGCCAAAATTCTATCTGAATATAATAAAATATAGTATCAATCAAATGTTTCCAACAATAACTTGTAGCATCAAAGTGGTGCATAATTGTCAATTTACACTCATAAAAAATTTAATATAATCATTGTCTCAGTTTAAGCTGAGATTGAGGTAGCAGTTTAGTGGCAGTGTGGTGTCAGACCGTACTTTCAGGTGATTTGCAAGACAATTTTTTTGCTTTCAAACTTTATTGTGTGGAGCAGTATTTTGCAACTTGACCAGATTAAGTATGGTTAATGACAAATATGATTTTTTTTAAATAAAATAAATTTATAATAGTCATTGCAGTTTTTTGAACAGTTGTTTCTTTCGTAGCAGCTTCACGATTGTTTCTTCAAGTTGTTGCAGCTGCCCCAAACAGATCCTTAAGTAAATGCTATTAAAATATTTTGACAAATATATGTTTAGTAAGAATTTGGCCAATTTGCAGACCTAAGATTACAATATTTAGGTCATTTTCAAAGATTTTTGTTGTCAAGATATGAATCCATGTGGACCAATCTTTTCCATGTGCTTGAACCATGTAATCCTTTTTGTCCCCCCCCCCCCCCACAACAACACTCTCATTCTATCTAATTAGTATTACTTACTGACTATATATTGGGGCATTTACATAAATTTCATAAATTTCACATTATTTTTAAATATTTACTTATCTAACACCTAAATTTTTATATTCACATATTGACATCACATAAAAAATATCAATATTATTAACTTTTTAAAAGTGAAATTAAGTTTAGAAATATATAAAAATTGAGTAATATGTATGTAAATCTTCCAAATAATTCCCCCATTAAAAAGTGTTATGGTATGACTCATATACCATATAGGGACAGACGCTGGATCAAAGCGGAGCAGGGCGGACAGAGCGGAGCGGAAGAATCTGTCCAAAGTGGGAAGTTACGTGGGTTGGGGTGCGGTATGGTACAGGGGTAATACTGTAATTACATATTATACCTAGGGTTTACTCCTGGGGTTATAAATAGGCCTGTTAGTAACCCCAGGAGGTATCCCTTATTTTGTAACATCTTTTCTGAATATTGAAAGGAGCTCGCCGCTCTGCTCCCGAGGACGTAGGCATCTTTGCCAACCTTGTTAAATCTTTATATTCTTCTGGATGTGTGTCGATTATTATTTTTCTTCGCCCTTACTTTCTCAACAAAAAGCAAATCAAAATTAAATGAAAACTTTGTTCTTTGAAACAATAATAATAATTTGCCTAGAATCACTTATTTTTATGGAAAGCTTATGTATCTACCACATAATTCATGTGTGTACATGCATACATTCATTTAACATAACAAAAAATTATTATTTTTTAAATAAAATGCACAATCATATGCATAAATTTATGAGCCTTAAGTATTAGTATAGATACAAATATAAATTTTGATTGTCAAATATGTAAATATATAAAAAAAATTAATATGTGTAATTTGAGGGTATAAACCAGCCGAACAAAAACGAGCCTAGACTCAGCTAGTATTCGGCTCATTTATATTTCGAGCTCAAAAAATGTGTTGTGCAGCAAACAAGTCGAACACGAATAGAGAATCATTTTTAATTATACTACTCATCAAAGATATACACACACAAATTTTTGTTCGAATTAGGTTTGTTTATTTAGCGAACAAGCTGAACATGAGCTTCTTAAAGAATCGAAAGCGAGCTGTCGCGAACAACGAGCCGTTTTGACAGACCTATGTGTAATTTTTTAATTTTTTTTTTAATAAAATACAACTTTGAACCGATTATGTTCTTTTAAAATTAAATTAGAAATAATAATAATAATAATTTATATTAAAACTGTACAGCACTAATTATATTTGGAGTCATTGAAGAACCCGGTTTGTAAAAATAAAAAAGATAGGTTGGCCTGTCAGACAACCTCAAGGACATTCCGGTCGGTTTAAACCGGCCGGACCGATCCTCCACAGTTTCGACCCAAAGCAGATCTCAACCAATAATCACGCCCTGTCCTTGAAGCCACGTGTCATCAACCAGACTGAGTTGCATGCCTATTTAATTGTTAAATATGCAGCAGTACGATCCTATAGAACAGATCCTGTTCAAGTAAGGTCGTGAGTTTAAGCTCTCCAAAGTGCTATTTAAATTTAATTAATTAAACTTTTGCCGCGATGTGGGACTAAAAACCTTTCATTAAACCGCCTCTCCAACAAATATATAAAATATCGATATATTAAAATATATTTAATTCAATCGTCCGTAATTTTGAAGTTTATATTTATTATGCGATTTATTGATATATCATGATTTAGATATGAAAATGTAATTAAAGAGCTTTTAAATTCAAATTCTTAATTATGTGAACTTCAATTGAAGTATATTTACGGTTTTATATTTTTTTTACATTAATTAAACTATTGTTAATGAATATAGATATTGAGTTAATACAATCTCTACTTATTTCTCTATTTCAGTGAATAAATTTGATTGCTTTTGTTCAAATTATGATTTATTAATTATTTTATTGGCATAATTATCAGAATTAGACACTAATCTTAAATTTAATGAATTAATTGTTTATTTAGACTTATAAATTATCTTTTAAAAGAATAAGTTAAATTCTCACTCATTGTTTAATCTTATTTATTAAATGTTTTAAGTATTTATTTGATTAATTTAAGCAATTGATATAAAAAACAAATTTTGATCATAGAAATATTTACATACCTAAAGTACTTTTGTGATTTAAGATTAAAAACCTTAGGTCATAATTTATATTTGAACCATAGCACTTAAAATTTGAGAATTTACATGCATACAACTTGTAAGTCAAAGGGGGGAGAACTGTTAGTGCTTACGAGTCCAAGCAAGTCAAAGGAGGGTAAACCGACAGGAAACTCGGAAGCTCAAAACTAACTAAGGCAATTAAATAGCTCGAACACGAGCGGATCGACTGAAAGCGGGAGGTGGAGGGGGATCCAAGCCGTTTTTCAAGATGAAATCAACTCTTGGGTTCTATCGAGGGCATCCAACAATTTCTCTTAATATAAAGGACTCGCCAATCTAGCCAGCTGAGCCTTAAGGCAGTCAGGTTACAGTCAAGCTCTGGTATGTAAAATATGTATAATAACATGTACAGTCCCAAGGACATAAATATAATTTTATGTATTGTACCATCTTTATTTATGAATAAGAGATCGTTCTATGAATACAAACCCCCTCGCAAATTACTATTCATTTATTGTGCATCTTTCTGTCTGATATCTCCACTATTGTTAAGTTTCTTTTATATAGATTTCATTCTTTGTTCCAATCAAACACAAAAAATTAAATTTATTGAAATTACTTCTATCAAAATCAACAAACCAAAGAGCCCCACTTGAAATTATTATTATATATATTTTTTTTTTACTCTTTATAATTTCTATTAACTAGAAAATATTTTTCACTATTTTTCTTGTCACAGATTTTAGACCTTAATTTACTACTTATCAACCCTTAGACATTAGACATTATTACAGAAGCATTCTCTAAAACCTTTATTAACAAAATAGTATATTTACAATAAGAAAAATATAATAAATAGCAAAAATTATATTTATTGATGTGTCATCAATAATTTTTTTTTTTTCGCCAGACACAAGTCTCAATGTATTTTGAGCAAGCAACATTCCGAATCAAAATTTAAGATCATATGGTCCCAATTTTTTTAAATTTATGGTCAAATTGAACGTCTCGACGAGATAAAGTCAGTAAATTAATGTTGATTGTATGAAATGATGTATTTTGAGAGATTTGTTAAATTTACTACAACTTCTCTTTAAAGAACATTAAATAGCCCATCACTCTTCACTTGAAAAGAGGGTAGGAGAAGAAAAAAGTGATCTCACTGCTAAAAGTTTAAAATCATAGTCATTGTCTTCATCACATGGAATGGCGATTGACCACCAGAGTTTGTCGTCAACCACTAAAATTTGCAGTTAACAACCTAAGCTTGTTACTGACACGAAAGGTCATCATCGACCACCATTAAGACCAACTACAACAATTAAACCAACCTATTACAACTTTAGTAGCCAAATTTATGTTATAGCCACCAACATATTTTTTAACCCCATCTTCTCTAATATTGGAGAGTAGTATGCATGCTGACTTGTAAATATGAATGATTAAGTGTTATACATGCAAATACATAATAATTCTGTGGTATGTATGTAAATGCATCTAAAAAACAAAGAAAGAAAAGGATGACATTTCTCGTAAGGAACAATAGCCTGACATTTGCTGAGGATGACATCTCCCATAAGCAACAATATCCTGAGATTTGTTGAGGATGACACCTTCATATTTGTCCTAGAACCATTTCATGACATCATCCTTCGTGACTCGATGCTGAACGTCAACACGAGATTTGCAACAACGGTGCCGGCTCACTCGGTAAACAGGACGCTCGAGAACAACATACAAGTCCATGCCATAGATTCCAATTGAGGATCATACAAGTGGCCAAGTCACAAACTATAAAAACAATGTAAAAACATTTAAAAGATATACATTGTATTTCATGTTATAATAGTCGCATAACAAGTGTATGTACATCTCTAAAACCTAAACTTCAATGTTTACATTCATGCTACACATGTATTAAAAAGTGTATTTCACTTTTCTTCAAGTTAAAATAGTGATATTTTTAATGTGATATGAAAGATTTGGGTGGTATAAATGTTAAAAGTAAAATTTAGATGTTTGATTTGTAAATACAAAAGAAATAAGTGGTATATATGCAATTGCCTCATATGAATCCCGTGTCTTTAATAAACGAGTGAAATACATGTCCTGCAAGTGGCAAGTCAAACTCAAATCAAACCTGAAACAAACACATGAATCCAAACTAACAACCCTAATGAGAAGCCTAATGAGAACCCTAATGAGAGATGACTCAAAAAATAGGATGATAAATTCAATCATACAGTCAAATCAAGTAAAATAGCATTGAGATCAGCCTAAATCAAGCCCTAATTCCCACAACAACAAACAAGGCTTTGTCTCATTAAGTGGAGTCGGCTACATTAATCAATTTTTTCCATTGTGTCCTAAAGAGTGTCATATTTTCATTTAACTAATAAATTATGATCATTTTTATACAACATGCCCGTGTCTTTTTAGGTCTGCCTCCAACTTTCTAATAAATCAAGCATAAATCCTAATTAGTTAAATTGACCCATTTGACCCAAAAAGAACCCAAATCATTCAATAAGTCAAATTGACCCAACCAAACTACCTATTGTGTCCCAATAATTTAACCATAACTTAATAAAACCTGGTTTAGCTCAATTGGCAGCTAAACCAAGTTAACATAATTGGTCTCAACTTCAACAAATATAGTACATTTGACCAAAACAGCTAAAAATACTAACAATGCACTATGAGAAGCAAATCGAGGAAGAAAACGAAAACAAATTATATGGTTTCCATTTAAAACATCATTCAACTAAATGTGACAAAAAATATGTCATCACAATTTGCTTGAATTAGCATAAGAAATCACTCTATAATTTTATTGTTCAATTTGAATGTAAAATTCATTCGCTAAAAAACTCAAAAAAATAGAAAAATTATTCTTATTATAAGAAGAATAAAAACCAAAGACAAACAAAAAATAAAAAATAAAAAACAATCCCAAATGGCTTCTACATCTTTGACTGTCAACTGTAATAAAAACATAAACATCATAGCTGCTGATGAAATACAATGAAATATATTAGCTGGAGGCTCAGATTTTTTGCTACTGTGCTCAAAGGAAGGCTACATCAAGCCCTCCTCATACAAGAGGTGTCAGAAAAAGGCAATAATCATCACAGCCATCAATACCTCTGGATTTCACAAGAAACAATGTGAATGATATCACAAAATGAATAACATATTTCAAAATTAAATCAAATAACAACGGGAAATCAGTAATAAAGCCATAATAGCTCAACTATTTTGCATTTTTACTCCCAAGGGAAATAAAATATTTACATATCAAATAAACGTAGAGCAAATGCATCATTGGGAAAACTCAACTTACGCCATGTCAAAATTTTACAAAAAAAAAAATGAAGCTGAACAAGAAAACCAGAGCAAGCAACAAATAGAGGCAAAAACAAGGATACTCAACAGATACTCTCACATCAGCAGCACAACTTAAACTGCAAAATATGGTTTTAACTAAGTCAAAGCAACTCGTGAGCCAGCTCGAGCTAGGCTCAATAAATGAATCATGATATGAGCTCGATAAGCTAACAAGCCATGCTTGAATATGCCATGACTCGAGTCTCCAACACACGTGTCGTCATGTTTAAAGAATATTAATAAAAAAATTATATTAAAACTTAAGAGTTGTAACCATAAAATCATTAAAAATATTAAAATAAAAATATCTCACTTTGATATATTATTTCTCCTTTGATTCTCATTCTTTCTATTACAGCAACTGCATGAATCAAAATTATGTTCTCTCGTTCATAATAAATGTCTACTCATAGCCAACTAGAACTGGTAGAATTAAACTCGATATCAAGATAGAAATTAATACCAAGATCAATATGCCCCTGAATACCAAATCCAAAACATCCAGTGTCACTTAAGTTCCTTTTTAGAAGCTCATACTCCTTAACCATCAAAACACTTTTGAGAAGTTGCCTCACCTTTTCTCCTCTAACAGTGACATTGCAAAAGCAATCTTTTCATTACGCCAAATTCAAAAATATCAGACAGTGTACCCTGGCTGGAAAAGGCAACAAATTTAAGGGAAATTTACAAACGTAGCACACAATTCTTATGTATTTACATATCTCACACCAAAAAAAATTCATATTTACATGGCACTTTGGTGCCTTAAACTTGTGCATGAGAGATGTATTTCACATTTAAAAAGTGAAATAGTGTTATTTTTTATGTGATATTAAAAATTTTAGTGCTATGTGCGTAAATATGGAAGTATAGGTGTGAGATATGTACATACATCAGAATTTCGAGATTTGTATACATATGCCCCCAAATTGAAAGACAAATTGAAATTCCCCTGACATGCCAGACTAATAATTTTCAAGTGCCTTTGGAGAACACAGGAGTTTGCCCACTTAATTGCTCCAACACCTGAAGACATTACAGGAAATAATTAGAATCAATATTAGAAAACAAGAATGATTTAAAGAAATATAATGTAAACAATTGAATCAGGCATATCTCTAAGCTTACGCCAATCAAGCCAGAACATGATGATGGCAAGCGTATGCATAAATGCTTAAATCAATCTCTCATGAAAATTAGATAGATTAAATTAAATAAAATTTAATCATCATTAAAATTATCTTCTCAAGATAATTAAGCTTGGGCTTCAAAAAAACTTGTCTTTTATAAGAAACTAAGCTTTTCTTTTTATAATATTAACTTTTTAAAATAAGCATGTCTTCTTATAATAAAAAAATTTAAAAGAAACATACTAATGAGTTAAATAAAGCTTTAAGACAAAATGCAACACCAAATAGTTTTCTGAGCTTACTCAATCTTTTTTTACCAACTAAATGATTTAGACTAAAAGGAAAGATTTAATTAAAGCACAACCGCCCACCCCCCACAAACCCTTTCTTTTTACTCATTTTTCAACAAGCTGAATAACTCTGATTAGTAAAAATCATAATCCATCTAAATGATTTTAATATACTGATTTATTCACAAGAAAAAAAGCAATTACTAATTTAATAAAATCATTAATTTCATAATTTGTATATGACTACTTAGTCAAAATAAATTATCCTAACTAATCAATAAATATTAATTCACAATTACTTCATAAGGAGTTATGCAATTTATTTATAAAAATTTAGATCAATTAATTAATAAATCAATCTTAAACAAGGACTATACAATAACTTGATCGAAAAATAATCCTCTATATTTATGCTAATGTATTGATTATTCATTGATTAAATTGCTAAACTGATTAATTCCTCATTAAAATTTTTATTTAGCCTATTTACATATCATAAAATAGTAACTAAAAAATTATCTTATGTCTTTTCAAAAAAATTATCATCTTAAGTAAACTATTATTTAACAAATCCAAAACTTCCATGGAGAGTGTTCAAACCTCCTACCATTGCATTATCTATAAAAAGTTGTGCAAAATCCCATCCCTATATCATCGAGGTTAAAGTCCAAATCGCAGTGGCGGTAAGTAAAAGATAGTCCAAGTTAGCCCACCAGACTGCGCGAGAGTTCTGGCAAAACTAGGAACTTAATGACCCTTTCCAAGCAGGCCTCCAAGCTTAGATGTCCTCATCAAGTGAAGAGCTATTGATGAAGTAAATAAGATTGTGAGGTGATAATGTTTAGAATGCAACACTTAATTTTTAAGATTATATCAATTAATTTTCAGGCAAATCTGCCAATTTTTTTATTAGAGGCATTTACATATATATCACACAAATCTCATGTAATTACATATCTAAAACCTAACTTTCATACATAGCAATTGAATCTTTAATAGTGCATAAAAAATACCACTATTACTAAATCTTTAAAAATGAAATACACCTTTTCATGCAAAGATTTAGGACAGAAAGTGTTACAAATGTAAACACAAACTTTAAGTGTTAGATATGTAAATACTAAATACATAGGAATTGTGTGATATGTATGTCAATTTCCCTTTTTACTTCTTTTTTTGGTCAATCAGCCAACTTTGGCATGCTCAAACATTAAACTTCTCTAAGCTTCTTGCTTGACTTGACATCATACTATTATCCAAATAGAAAATCAGATAATCACAAAAAAGCTTAGCATATTTTAGCTGTATTCTTGAAGCCTTAAAAGCACAGGCAAATGCAGGAATGTCATTTAGAATTGGAAAATTACAATACCACTGTTTTGCAAGGAAACTTCAATCAAAATAGCATTCTGATATTCAATTCATAAGGAATATTAGGCACAAAAAATAGCTCAAGGATGCTGAAAAAGGTAATAAATTTGTGATATAATGATACATCACTCCTCCGGCCAGCAGTTGGGGCTATGGCTTTACCCTTGGAGCTTGGTTCCGTTCTTCAGGACCATGATTATCATAATACTACTAACTACATGGAATTTTTCTTCACAAAATCCATCTTAGCAATCCAAGAAAATGCATAAAACATTTGCTTATTCTCGTCAATGACAAACAAATTCATGAAACAAACTTCACGATAAGTGATGATAATACAAAATCCTGATTCACTAGTAACAACGCGTATCAAAATCAGACCTAAAATAATAGAGATTTGAAATCTTATTTCTCGCTGAGAATCCGGAGCTTATAAATATCAGAGTAAGAAAAACGAAAAGACCTTGAAAGCTCTCTTGAGGCGACCTCCACTCTCACCCACCGATATGTTGAGCACTAGCTTCTGAACCCTGATGACTTGCAACGAATTAAAAAGCCTCTGCTCTGATGACTGCCATGCCAACAGAGATCGATGAGAAAACCTACAAAGAGATCCATTGAAATAGCAGAAGCAGAAAGAAAATAAGGCTTGGCGAAGAGAGAAGGTGGAATCTACCATAGCAGCGATCGGCGCAGCTTAGAGAAGGAAACGGAGTCCGCGCGCAAGAGGATTGCTCGGAACCTAGTGTGGATATATAAAGGTCGTCGGTTTGTGTGCTTGTCTCATGCAGCCCGTTGGATTGAAATCAAGCGGTCAGATGTGAAGGAAAAAATGCTCCATCAGAATCAGGCTGATCATCTAACTTAAATATTTTTGGGATATCACAATCTTTTTTTATATTAATATATCTAGCAGCTAAATATTCATATTTACGCACATAAGCTCAAATTTTTAATACCAAAATTTACCGTTTAAATATCGAGACAATGGTCTCAAAATATTTTTTGGATTAAAAAACGTCCAAACTCAGATTAAAAATTATTTGAAAGTGTGATTTTAACAAACTCATAGTCAAATTGATTGGCTCAACGAAACAAACACAATGACACTAAAGCTGGTTCAATCCGAGTGAAATCAATGATCGAGCCGTTAAGTCATTTTTTGAAGCTTATAGTGTCCAATTGAAAAGTCGAACAAATTCCAATTCTATCTTGAATCGGATGAAGACCCGAGTTTAGAGAGGGGGTGAAGTTCAACATTACACACTAAATGTTTAGCAAACACTATATGCTCTTGAAGCTGTTGACTACCGTCGACCACTTCTCATCATTTGTCATCAACCACTGTTAGCCCCGATGTTCGTTACAGTGCAATCCCTCGTTGAATCACGATGTGCATTTGCAATATCCCAGTGTAACCATACAGAGCAATGTTTCACCCAAAAGACGGTGTAATAACATATCCCAAATATGAGACCACACTCACACACCTTAAAGATGGTGGAACGACGTCTCCTATATACTATGCAATGACACATCTCGAAGACAGTGCAGCGACGCATCTCAAAGATGGTGTAACGACACACTTTTAATACAGTGCAACAATGCACCCCCCTGAAAATATGTTTACAATCGGAGTGATTTCTCCATACTCGTAATGGAGTAACGATGTGTTTTATATAGGGTTCATTGATGCATTTCAATGTAACAATGCTTTCTAAAGACAACGTATTGACTTATCTTGAAGACGGTGTAACCACACGCTATATGCAAGTACAATGCAACAATACACCCCACAATAATTATTTACAAATGAAGTACTTAAAATACAGTAATTTTCTCCTACTTTTTGTAAATGCCTGTTCTTTACTAGGTCTGGTTTTGATGGAGCCGTTTTACTTCAGTGATTTGGTCTTTTTTCTTTTTTTTCTTAATGGTATATCTGAGCTCAAAGTTTGGTGACTATTTTCATTCTCATGCAAATGTAAGTTTTCGCCATGTTTGTAAATCTATCTTTATGTAATGATATTTGCTGCGTATGACCCTCGTTTTGGTTTAAAATTTAGGTCAATGATTGATCTTTAGCACCCAAAATGAGAATATTCTCCCATCCATCTTTATCTTATCTACTTGTTGAGCCCAATCCCTAAAGTACTAACCAATTAAATTATTACAACATCATAATAATGTTTCTCCATACGACATCAACCAAAAACAAAATATCTGATTAACCAGAGCTAAAAATGAATCAAATTTCCCATCTTTAGCCATATTTCCCTTCACCTTCTTCTTCCCCAACCACTTCATGGAGGCTGAGCCAAAGGCAGATGAGTGGGAGCTCCTCTCTCCCAACACCTCCTTCCTTCGCTTCGGCCTCGAAGACATCAAAGACCTCTACTCCAAGGAAATAGACTATGTGGACTATTTCATGGAACAACCCTACCTGATCATCGACTCAGAAGACGATCAAGCATCCATCCACCATGATGAATCCCTCCCAGAAGTCAAGGTTGAAGATCTCGAGCAAACCGAGCTTAAAGACGATAGTAGAGTTGAAAAGCAGGAAGAGGATTTGGCTGATAAATTACTACGCTCCAAGCCTCCGCCGCGGCCGGCGTTTGTAGCGGTGATAGCCGAGATGGTACCGATCACGGTGGCCATGGCGGCGGCCATGGTGTGTGGGTTTCTACTCGGAAGCGGGCGGCGGCGGGCCGATACTATGCGCTTCCACACTTATAAAGACAACAAGGTAATATGGCTCTTAGCTCCGGCCCATAGGAGTGTAGACAAGCCAAACTTGAATGAGCTTAAGCTCAATTCGTGTTCAACTCATTAAAAAATATCATTGTTCGTATTCTACTCATTTATATTTTGAGCTCAAAAAATTTATTTGTGTTCCACTCGAAAAAATGAGTCATTTTAATAGCCCTAATCATGCACTTGTAGAATGTTAATCATAGGTGCAGGATATATATATATATATATAATCTAATTATTTAGAGTCAGAATGAGGTAGATATTAACTAATAAAATTGTATTTGTGTTTGACTCATTTATATATCAAGCGTAAAAAATTTATGTGTTTGACTTAGATTACTTCACGAACAAATCAAATATGAGTTGTTCACGAACAACGAACCATTTTTGGCAGCCCAACCGGCCAACAAGTAAAGAGAAAGAAGAATTTTCATTGCTTGTTTGTTTGTTGGATTTCAGGAGATGAAGGAGATGGTGAGACAGGCGAACAGGATTAATCAGGTGTTGGTGGGGACGGCAAGGGGGATGCCGCCGCCGGTGATGCAACCGGCGACCATCTCGTTTGGCGGGTGCTTTGGTGATATGCTTTGATGGGTTTTAGCAGTGTTGATGGGTTTTGGCGTGTTGTGGAGTAGATAAATATATATGAATTAGATGTTGACTTGTATTTCCATGTTATTTATGTGTACATTATTAATCACATTAACATGGTTTTGGGTCATGTAATTTTGCTTTTTAGTTGTAGTTTTTATAATCTATTTCTCAAATTCTCACTCAATTATGAAAATTCATGGTAAGATCCCAATCCATGTTCTTCTTTGTTACCGAATTCTCTAAAGTTTGGTCATGACAAGCATATGGGTGAGTTTTGTAAATATCTAGAACTTCAATTTTTACATAAAATGCAAATTAACTATGCATGAAAAGGTAGATTTCATTTTTATGAAGTTAAAAATTGGCATAGTTTTATGAGAGATCAAAAATTTTGGTGGTATTAATCTAGAGGAAAATTTACAAACAATTCCTATGTATTTAATATTCTCAAACCTACACTTTCATATTTACATATATAGCACTTTCATGTTATAAACCTATTTATTAAAAGATATATAAAATACATGCAGAGCATAGGAAAAAAACAGCATGCAGAGCTTCTTCCAGTAAACTGTGAAAATGAGCATCAAGTGAAAAACACTGTTAAATGAGTACCGTTTTAAACAATTTTATTCAGATAAGAAATATTTCACAAAAGGTTCCTCGATTGCTTCAGCCAAGATAAGTCCTGCTTAAGCAGCTTTTGGTACAACACCCTCCCCTCAAACTTAAACTTATCTATACCATCAGCTTTGGCATGGAATTGTAGAACTGAGTAGGCCGCCGGAATGTCGACCAGCTCCGCTTGAAGAGCCGCCAGCTACTCCAAGTGCATGTGTCGTAGAGGCGCCGGTTTTTTCTAGAGCTCCTTCATCTTTGCCTCCTGCTGCAGACTGACGACAAGGGCAAAGGAGTCCATCGTCTCCTCCGAGAGGGGGGAAAATGAAGATGATCACCTCTGTCGGTCGTCGGTTGCCCCCTCAGGGTCTTCTAGGGTACCGAGTGGGTCATCGACCGCCTTCCCATTGCTATGTGTCGAAGTCGGAGCTCCCTCAGCTACACTGAGAACAGAATCCCCTACGACACCTGTCTGTGGCAAATCAAAGACCAGTACTGCCTCATCTGCATCAACAAACAAACATCAATAAAAATGAAAAGTTTTTTTCCTAAATGTAAAGACCGTATCTCCTCATACCAAGGACTCGATCCATCTCGGACAACCGGAACGACGAAAAGTCGGAGCTCCCTCAGCTACTCTGAGAACAAAATCCCCTGCGACACCTGTCAGTGGCAAATCAGCAACCAGTACTGCCTCATCTGCATCAACAAACAAACATCAATAAAAATGAAAAATTTTTTTCTAAATGTAAAGACCGTATCTCCTCATACCAAGGACTTCCGGAACGACCAAAAGTTCTCACCAAACAACGGTGGAACGCTCGCAGACTTGCTCCCACAGGCCGGTAGCTAAACCGTAGCCTCCCTTTTCTCTGAAAGTGGAGCCAAGGCTATTCCCTATGCAGGTTGCTCAACCGGCTAACTATGGGCGGCAACAGAAAAACAAATTGGCACACCAACGGGCGAATTGCTCAACTTGCCTCTCTCCTTTTGTTGGAGCATCACCAAATCAGACAACAAAACCTCATCGTTGGGATCCTCTGTCAGCTTCTTGTAAGCGAGTTGCTAAACTCATCTCTCAACCTCTGTCAGCTTCTTGTAAGCGAGTTGCTAAACTTATTTTCTCATCCTTGTGCCGACTTCCTTCTCCTAGCCTCTTCACTCCCCCAGGGTTCCTCTCGCCCTCAGGCCAAATCCCTCCTTCACGCCCCTTTGTTCCTACAGGCTTCTCCTCCCCCGGCTGGCTCCCTCCTAGTCACTTCTTTCTCAGAAATTACTTCTCAAGATGGAATCACGGTGCAAAAATCCTGAAGGCTTTGATCATTATTTCTTCAATGATGATGTCCTCCACAGTCTCCATGAAGGCAGTGATGCCCCAAGCCGCGGAATTTTTTTCTTTTTTTGTTTGGGTGTCGCATTTCGGGGGCGTCTGCTGATAATTTCGGCAGAACGTGGGCGACAGGTTCGACCACAGTGCCCGTGTTTTCTATTATTCGAAACACACATAATTCCTCAGTTGCCCCGCGCTCCCTCGACTCTCTTCCCTAGCGTCTGGCGAAGCCAACCGTTGCTCCCCTGCTGTCCTCCCGTCCCCACCTCCAACTCCGCCAGAGAGCCCGCACTGAGCTTTGCGCTCTCCACCAGCTTCTTGAACGTGATAACAATGCTTCTTGGGTTCCTTTGTGTGCAACTTTATGCTTCTTGTGCTTTTTTTATGTCATTTGGCTTGATAAACACACAAAATCACTCACAAATAATACATGATTGATTCTTTCTCTTCCATTTCTTCTATCTGTAAAGCTTTCATGTTCAAACAACTTCATATTAGCTTGATAGACAAAATCATTGACAAATAATACATGATTGATTCTTTCCCTTCCATTGCGTCTATCTATAAAGCTTTCCTGTTAAAACAACTTCATTTTATTTGTCTAGCTAGTAAATCCATTTTCTCTAGAGAGTCTTGGCAATCGAATGTTTTTATTTTGAACCTTGCTGTTTGGATGTTTTCATAAACCTTTATTGGCCTCGGCTCCTAGACAAAAACATAAAGGAAGGGAGTAAAGTGGGGCAACTTGTTCTTATAGTTGTTCGCAAAGACGGACGGAGATGAATGGTTAGGCAAGTTGGGGAAAAGAAACCTTAACAGAAAAATCACACATGAAGAAATTTATTTCACTTATAAAAAATCAGCAGTTGTGATATTTTTATTGAGAGGTTAAAGATTTCAGTAGTATGTATGGAAATTTCAAAGATTAAGTACTACAAATGCATATATAAGAATTAAGTCGTATGTGTGTGAATGTTCCATCATGTTTCTAATTGTAATTTTAATAATTTTTTTCTCTGTTTTAGTTATCTTAGTACTCACAGTTAATTGGAGTGTGTATCTTTTTTTATATTATTCTGAAGTGATTTTTTACTTCGCAAGTATTAAATATATTGTTATAATAGCTCTGATGAAAATAACATGACCGCTCAAAACCGAAATAGTCATTTATCTAGAAACATGTGCAAAAGAGCTGTTTTTCAATAGCACAAACCAAACAGTCAGCCAACTTATCCGGATAAGTTGTTTATCTACAACTTATCTACAACTTATAAACAGATTATTGATTAAATGCAGCTACCTCAAACATACCCTAAAAGACCACTCGAAAGTTAATGCATATATCAAAAGCCACAATCACGCCATCTTTAGAGGCTACGAGCATGCGTATCTAGGGAGTACAAATATTAAATTACTGATTATGAAAAAAATAAATATATTTTTTGAATGTTCTTTGGCGGTATGTACGTTAGAAATAAGTCAGGAACTAAGTGGACCGAGAGATATGAAAGTATGCTCAAGAAGAAGGAAGATCAAAATATTTTTTTTTACTCAAAAAATACCCTTGAAGTGAACAACAAAACAATTTTGAAAAACAAAAAATTGAAAACGTGGAACTCGCCTTCCAACGGCATAAAAGAAAAATCGATGCATATCGGAAGCCAACTAAGAAAGGAACACTTAAAAATAGATTTCCTCTCCCTCAAAGGATTCAGGGATAGCACGGTCTCATAAAAGACACATCGCCATCTCTTTATGTTTGCCACTGTCTGAACCAAAAATGGAATACAAAAACCAAGCTTCGGTTATTCGAGAGGCAGATTAAGCATTCTAGAATTCGAAAGACAAAAACATAAGCATATATGAAAAAATTTACGAGGTCGCTTGGAGGAATCCATACAGCTGAAGCTCGAACGAGCTCGGATTGAGTAGATTCCCCTCAAAAGGCCTCTATTAGATCTATGTATGCCTCATAACTAAGCAAGACAGCGTGGGATTCGAGGGAGCCGAAGGCACCATCGAGATCACGATCTTGCTACTCTGAGAGGCAGTTCTTGAAATCACAAGATAGAACGAAATAGTTTCCGCCGGATCATTGATCGCATCAGGCGAACAATGCAGGAAAGGAGATTCAACTAATACTAAAAAGAAGATGCCTGATCACACCTGGATTTTTATTTGAATGCTGATCGATCCAGTTGCCAGCATCAAAGTGAAAGAAATGGCGCCACAATGAAGAGAGCTTAAGCGGGAGAGAAGTGGAGAATCGAGGTTAGTGTGATATGACAACGATCCAAGAGGCTCATGGATGTGGAGACCTGCGGGAAAATGACGACGGAAGAAGGCCGGAACCCTAGATGAATATTTATAGACTTGTGGCCAGTTGTTGGATTGAAATCAAACGGCAGCAATGGAATATTATAATTTTATATTTAATTTATTCATAAATACTCAATTATTAAACCAACAATTTTTTTTATTTATTTTATATTTAATTTATTTAAGCTCACCACGAATAAGTTTGTTAAGAAGCGCCAGAAAGAATTTCATTAAAAATTATTAAAACTCAAGTTATTATTTGGGAACAAATTCAATTTAAACTTTTTTAATAACTTATTTTCTCTAAATTAAATTAAAATTTTAAATCACAATCCATAAAATAAGACATACTTATTTGTTTAATTGTACCTTTATTTTGTACGTTTGAATGTTTATTTTAATTGTTAATTTAGAAGCTCTTTCATTTATAAATTTAATGGAGTTCATTTGATTAGAAAATAAATACCACATTCATATTACTTGTTTGATCAAAAATATATATCCCAATAGCAAAAAGTGGAGCAATTGTACAAAGGTCGTAGTTGGTTGTTGCATAGACAGTAGTTGGTCACAAAGGTCATTGTTGGACGTTACAATATTGTCAGTTGGTCATAGAAAACATAGTTGATGACTGCAATAATGTCAGTCGACCACAGAGTCTGTAATTGAAAGTTTTAATAGTAGTATCAACTACAAAGATTGTAGTAGATTGTTACATAGATAGTAGTAGGTCACGAAGGTCATGATTGGTATTTGTACTATCGTTAATGGTCACAAAGACCATAATTAGTAACCACAATAGAGTCAGTTGACCAAATTAATTGTATTTGGTTGCTGCACATACAGTATGTGGTCACAAAGGTTGTGATTAGAAGTTGTAATGTCGTCAGTTGATCACATAAGTTATAGATGATGATTGCAATAACAAAGGTTGGTCACACTGGTTGTAGTTCAAAGTTGTAGTTAGCCATAAAGGCGATAATTAGAAGTATAATATTGTCAGTTTTACCCTAGAGATCATATTTGGTGATTGTAATAACATTAGTTGGACATAAAAGGTCATATTTGAAATTGTAACATTAATAGTTGGTCACATACATCGTAGTTGGTGACTGCACCACTTCTCTTAGGATGAGAGTACAATTTTGCACCATAAACATCACTTGACAGTATACAACATGCAAGATGATGCAAGAGTTAGGACAAACATCATATTCATACTATGAAGGTCGTAAAAAAAGATTATTGGTGACCGGCGAACAGTAGCAAAGGCAATGAGGGTGGTTGGCGGCAAAAGAGGTCACATGTTAGCATTGAATCTTCTGTACAAGCATTACACATTACGATCGTATTTAGGATACGACATTTGCAAGCGAAATTCATCGACAACTAGAGGTTGACAGCGACAAGGAGGGATGACTGCAGAGTTGACGGCGACTGACGAGCAATGATCAATAACTACAATGGCTGGAAGTTCTAGTTGGATCTCCAATATCTTGTTATATGTTATGACCATATTTGGGATACGACGTTAGATAAATGTGGTCGATGGCAACTAATGGTGAGCGATCACAAGAAGAGATGATCGAGAGTGGTCGATAGTGGTCAGCGGGCGATGAACAACAATGGTTGGTGGCTATGGAGGTTGACAATTATTATTGAGTCTTTAATACGACATTATATTATGACGTTAGCAAGTAAGAGTTGTTGACAACCAATGGTTGGCAGCAGCAAGCAGGGACGACCCGTGGTGTCAATGACGGTCGACGGCTAATGGCTGTCAGCTACTGCGGAGATTGGAAGTTATCTATAGTCTTCAATACAATGTTATAATTATGATTTTATTTGAGATAGGAATTTAGCAAGTTGGGGTTGGTGACAACGACAAGTAGCTAAGCAAAGGCCGTAGGCAAAGGTTAATAACGGCTGACAAGCGGTAGTTAATGGTGGTTAGCGTCTACGGAGGTTGGAAATTATTGACGTGTTTATAGTCCATAACATGCTCTAGAATTCTTTCTGTACTCTTCCCCCATCAAGTTCAGGGATAGGGACTATTATGGGAAAGTCCTTTTGGTCATTTAGGTTGACTCATATTGATCAAGTGCAAAACATATTTCCCATATACTAAATTCCCCAATCATCTAATCAGATGACTCGTATTGATCTTATTGATCATAGGATTTTTTTTAATGGTTTGAATGCCTTAATGAAATCAGAATTAAGCGAGCTTAGGCTTATCTGATTCCACCTGTCGAGGCGTTCAATTTGAGTATAAATGTCAAATTTAGATTCTCTTTGACCATTTAATTAACTATTGAAAAACTTTCAATTGTGCTTCAGTGGCTCAATTTGGGCTTGATTGGGCTCAGATCGAATCAATTTTAATATCATCAAATTCAACTTGTCGAGACAGTCAATTTAACAATGAACTTGCTAAAATTAGAGTTCTAAATGATTTTTCGCCCAACAATTTATAAAGATTCGTGCAAAATGATAAAATTAATTGATGATATATCAATGTTAAACAAAGTAGAATTTGTACAAGCATCTTAAGCGAGTTTAAGATGTTACCAATGTCAACATTCCCAGAAATGAAAATATGAGAAAGGTGAAGAAGAGAGACCCTTAAATTCAAAAGCAGTGATCCCCTTCGAAAGGCCAGAAGAAATCAAATCATGCTTGGTAAACAAGCAATCGACGACAAATCAACAAAATATAAGAAAAGAGAAGAGAAGCCATTACAGTGAGTGAAGTATTTGAAGTATAGCAAATGAACAAATCTTCTCAAGGAGAAGACTACACAAAGCATTACACCAGCAAAACTAGAGCCGGCGAGTGGCGGTTGCAACAGGGCGGCAGTCTGGCAGACAGAAGGAGAGAAGGCAAAGGCCAAGGCATCGGTTCAAATATAAGAAACTAGATCTATTTATTCTAATTAATTATAAAGAGCTAATTTCAAGCTGAACATGTGCCGAACATCAATCTACTTTGTTCACCGGTAATTTCAAACACGAGTCAAACAAAAACCAAGCCTGAGCTTACTCAAGTTCGCTACGTTTACAGCCCTTACAAAATAACTAATTTGTTTAGATATAAATATTAATGTGTCAAGTTCATCCCACTAGCAACTGATCAAGCCAATCTAGCCTAAATTGATCAGTATAACTTAAATATGCCAAAATTAAAGAATCGAACATGGTCGAAAATATTAAGTTCTGCATTTGAACTTCCAAAAATCTCCGAAATAAAAAATCATGCTTAATATCATCAAAAAAATAGAAGGGGAATCTACATACATGCCATACCATTCTCATATATCTGCATATCAAACTTACATAACTCAAATTTTGTACATTGCATAAAAATACCACTATGTCTAACTTCAAAAATCAATGGATAAATTTATGACACCAAAGTATGATAAATGTAAATATGATAATTTAAGTGTTAGACATGTAAATACAGAATAATTGTGTGGTGTGCATGTAAATTTTCCACAATAAGAGCAAAAACTCAAAATTGCATGCATCAAAATATGTCTCAAAATGCCAAAAAAGATGGCCTCACTTTTCTAGATCCTCAAATGCATTGAAAGACAATCTTATGCATGACAATTAATACCCTTCCCAAGCCACATCCACTGAAATTAATACTTACATGCTCCTATTCCGGAATTAACAAAATTGTTAGCCTCACAAAAATAAACATGAAATTGTAAATAAACACTAATTTACATAAAAAAACATCAACACTTCAATCCTTCATTCCAGCCTTGTTTCCTTTCTTTCCTCCTTTCTTCCCCAAGGGTTTTCCTTTTAAACTCTTGCCCTGAGCTTTGTGGCCCTTCTCCTTAACCGGACGGCCGCCCCTCCCCGGCCTCCCCATCCCTTTAGTTCTCTTATCCTTTTTCATTCTCCTGTCGACCACCACCTTCCCTTTACCACCCTTCACCGGAACCCCTTTCTTCGCCACCACATACTCCTTCTTAGGCCTTGTCGGTGCTGCCTTCTTGTAGAGGTGATCGATCATCTTCCGTTTAGACCTTTCGGAAATGTCGGTCTGATCCGAGATGACATCTGCTTTCTTCCGAGCTTTCTCCAACTTCTTCATCGCTGCCCTTTTCTTCCGCGCTTTTGCCTCGGCAACCTTCTTAGCTGGGCGAGCATCAATTTCCCTAAACTGCGCCCTCATTGCTGCAATTTCTTCTTTTGTCACGGGCTTCATTGGTTGGGAGTGTCTTTTCTCCTCTTCCGCAAACCAGTTCGGCAGGCCAACATCATCAAACATATACTTGTTGTAAGCATCATCGAGGATTTGCTCCCTTTGCTTCTTTTGCAACATCTTCTTCGCGTAAGCGAGAATCTCCGCCTTTGTGTCGTCGTCTTCTTCCTCTGATTCATCATCCGACGAAGAGTCATCGGAGGTATCCAAGGGGTCTTGTGGAACTATCTCAAAATCCTCCTCTTCGTTGGCCTTTTGGTATTGTGGAGGACTGAGATCGTTGGGGCGGAGTGTTGTGTCTACTGGCTTTTTTGATATTGGTTTTTTCAAAATTTTTGGCAGCACAACAATTTCATCTTCGGTATCGCTCGCCTCTACTACGCCATCTTCAGCTGCTGCGGCGAACACATCTTGACCGAACCACTGCTCCATTATTTGCTCTTGAGTTGGTTGGCCATCTTCATTGAATGGGATAACAAGAGGATTTGTTTCTTTGCAATCCTGATCCTGATCAGAATCGGGATCCATAGCTGCATCTTCTCCTTCAGCGGTCTATAAGAAACAGGGCAGTGAAAATACACATTAGACTTTCATATCGAATTTCTCTTAAATATTAAAAAAAAGTTTTAAATTTACATTTACAACACCTTGGTGCTATAAGCCTATGTATTAAATGGTGCATTTGCTTCTAAAAAGTTAGTGAAAGTGGTACATCTGATTTGATTTTAAAAATTTTAGTGTTATGAATGTAAATATTAATGTATAGGTGTTAAATTTGTAAAAACATAAGATTTGTGTGGAATATGTAAACGCCCCTCGAATTTTCACCATGATGAGGCTATTAAAACTAAAGAGAAACTGATGTAAAACTAATGAAGTTTAAAGTATTCATATGCAGCACATTTGTAAATCGTCTAATAAATCTTGCAAGAAAGATAGAAAGCAAAAATAAAAATGAGTAACATCTTGTTTTAGCATAAAAGAATAAAATTTAAGTATGATCAATACTGCTTGGAAGGTTTTAATTATTTGAATTAAATAAAAATCTATCTTAACAATATCACTCAGACGTTAAAAATAGTGAACTGCTAAGAGAAGGGGCAGCTAAAGAAGAGATGAGAGGGGTGTAAACTAGCCTGAATTGTGCTCAAGCCACCCTCAGTTTGAGCTTGAGTTTAATTAATTAATCATGTTCGAGCTCGAGTTCCAACTTAAATCTATGAGTTCGAACCAGCTGGCTCACCGGCCGACTGGTTTATTATGAAATAGAGAAAAAAATATTAATTTAAGCTATTGTTATAACAAAAGGACAAAAAGGATGAATAGATAGGACAAAAATAATAAAAAGTGAATTAATATAAAATACAAAATATCATTACTAACTTAAAGATATAATCTTGAATTTTATTATATTTTGAGTATATTTTATGTTAAGTTTCAAATCGGGGCTGGCTTGAGCTTGTTGGTTAGCGCGTTGAGCTTAGGTCACGAGCCATTGGTCTAACAGAGCCTAAGCCGGCTCACGAGCCAATTTGGCTCAATTACACCCCTAAGATGAGTAGGATATTGACTCACAAATTGCAGCATAATTTCAATGTGTGCACATCAATTACATTAAATACCTCCATTAACTCCGCATCTCCAACAGAAATGTCTCTTTTGGCACGTTTCCTTTGTTTTGTGCTGCCTCCCCTTCTAATCAGATATCTTTCATAAACTTCATCAAGCATTTCCTCAACTTGCTCATCATATCTGATAGGAAATTAAAGTTGTAGAATTTAGAGAAAAAAAAGTTAGCAAGCTTCACATTGTGTATTTTTTAACATAAAAATGATAACTTTAGTAGATCAGAAATGTGGGCAGAAGCTGAGACATACCGCCTTCGTTCCTCATCGGAATCCGAATCACTAGAATCAGCAGCAGCCTGATGTTCTGCTTCATTTTCACTACCTCCAAGTTCACCATCTTCATCACTCGCTGACTCAATAGTTTGTAATTCTTTTTTCCCCTGAAACATAATATGCAGAAGATAATCAAAAAATAAACTATATTTTCCTTTTTTGACATATGAAAATGTATACTGTCTGACGTCATTTTAATAAAAAGCAAATATCAGTATCAGTGCATCACTAATAACATATAAAAATGTATACTGTCCGATGTTGTCAATCTGATCTAGAAAAATAGAAATAAGGGAAATTTACATACACAACACACAATTCTTATGTATTTACATATTTCACACTTAAAGTTTCTTATCTAAAAGTGGTGATAACGCTATTTTTAAGGTGATATTAAAGATTTGAGGGTGTATAAATATGAAATTTTACGTGTGAGATGTGTAAATATATAAGAATTGGGTGGTAAGTATGTAAATGCCCCTAGAAATAAATCTATATCAACTAAACAAATGAGAGGCAATTAGCTCTAAAGATAAAAATAGCATGCAAACCAAAGAAGGGAGTACAACGTAAAAAAAAGATCATTAGAAAAATAATCAGAATTATAACAATGCTTTAGAGAAGGAAGATAAGAAAGTATAGGCAATCTACGACCAATCTTAGTGCAGACCCATCAAATTCAAAGGTGCAATTATTTCACAAACTACAACGTACTCTAAACAAAAGAATGAATGGCAGTTATTTCCAGAAAAAAGAAAACAAAATAAATTTCAAAAATAACTCACCAAACTGAGCTTATAACTTTTTTTAAAATTTCAAAAAAATAATTATAAATAAAAAAATAACTTTAGGAAAAAAACAATTTTAAAATTTCAAACATAAGAGATTCTAAAAATTCAGAAACATGGTTTAAAATGAAAAACTGCAGTCATTTGCAAAACCCACCCCAATCACAAACCTTTATTGCAGTGAGGGAGAACAAATGTTTATCAAAATAACTGTCCTCCGTAGCATCAATTTGTATACCCAATGCTTTGCGCGCTTTATCCTTAGCACGGCGTTTTTCAAGGAGCTTCTTCGCTTTCTTTTTCTTGCGCTCCATTGCATTTGTCAGCTCCTCCATTTCTATAAGTAAGCGTTCATCCTCATCACCCTTTGTATCTTTTTCCACTTTTGCAACTTTTGAAGCATCTTTATCAGATGATGACAGTGTCTTTCTTATGTGCATTCGCCACCTGTGTAAAACATACACAAGCAATGGACTCGAATGAAAATTTGCATTGCAAATTCAAATATAGGAACCAGATGCAAACAACACCTTACATGATGAAAGACGTGAATTGACAAGATATCAGTCTATTTATCTATAGCACCCAATTCTTATATATTTACATATCTAACACTTGAACTTCAATTTTTTACTTTTATATTTTATACCACTCAAATATTTCACTGTCACATCAAACATGCCACCATTTAAACTTTTAAAAATTGAAATAAATCTTTTCACGTATAGTTAAGGGGGCGTGTACTTAAAAATTGAAGTTTAGGTGTTCGATATGAAAACATGTGAATTTGTGAGCTCCAAAATTCACGTTCACTCCCCAAGAATAAAACAACAAATGAAATCAATGAATAAGATAACCAAATATTTTTTAAATCAAATCTGATTACTAAATACTTTGGAAATAAAAGTGATCGCTAAAGCAAACATGCAAAGAAATAATAGTGAGACATCAGTAAACTCAGTTCATAAATTGTCAGAGAATATTCAACTAGGAATCAAATCAAACCAAGGAAAAAAACAAAAAAAAATGTTACTAGTAAATAAAGTTCAACTTACTTCAAAAGATGCTTGAAGCTATTCTTGTCTAAAACATACAAATCCTCGCATAGTGATTTAATCTGTCAAAATCAAGATAAAGTGACCAGTAAGAAAGAAAAAGAGAAGTACATTGCAAGCAACCCGCAAAGAAAAAAACTAGAAGAAATTAATCATACCTCGTCCGTAGTCAGATCATGCTCCTTGATAGATAAAGATGACGAATCCTCAAAAGATAATGCATTAACTGAACCAAGAAACTCAAGTGGCGAATCTGACCAAATAAAATCAGATACTTTTCCGACCTTCCATAAAGTTGTAATTCCATCTTCATAGCTACATGATGAAAGCAATAATCATCATTTTGCAGTAAAAAATAAAATACCAAACCTTAATTTGGTATAGCTACATGGTCCTACTATAACTACCATGATAGCAAAATGCAAGGTGATTCCAGAAGAAGCAACTTTAGAATGAAAATATATTACAAACTTTCATATTTGAAAATTCTACAATAGCACCTACCCTCAAGCTTGAGCGCATATAACATGAAGATCAAGTTCATAACAAAGATTGAAGAATTAGAGTGATCACAGAGCTTTTGTAAAATATATCACAGCTATTCTTCACTAGAGACATCAAGTGATGACCTTCTTTGAGAGAAGGGCATTTCTAACAAATTGACAATCTATTTCAGTATGTTTTGTTCTTTAGGGTAAATTATGATTGCTAGTAATATGGATCGTTGTATGATTATAGCACTTATGATTAATCATAAGTTGAATAACACAAAAGACATTTTTTAATAAGAATTTTAATTCACATAATTTGCAACAGAATGTGTCATTGCTCTGTCTTCAACTTCTACACTTGATATACCAATAACAATATTTTTTTTGCTTCTTCATGACACAAGATTTACTCTTACAAAATCATAAGATCATTAAGTAGACTTTTGAACTAAGACAAATCCAGTATATTTAACATCAAAGTGCACTTTATATTTTAGATAGTTAAATTTCTAAAAGCTGATCATTTCCAGCATTTTTCCTAAATTTAACTTCATATCCTTAATATAGAATACCAAAGTTAATTTTTGAACTTTGCATATGCAGACTTACCAGATAGTTAAATTTCTAAAAACTGATCATTTCCAGCATTTTTCCTAAATATAACTTCATATCCTTAATATAGAATACCAAAGTTAATTTTTGAACTTTGCATATGCAGACTTACCACACACCAACAACAAAGAATATTAAATCACTTAAGAAGATATCTTGGTTTGCACCCCATAAGATAATAACAATGATTATCATCAAAACTTTCCTCCTTAGAAGTCCATAACTAATCCATTTGTCTGCACCCAAGAAGCTCGATTTCCCCAAGTAACTATATAGCATCACACATATTACTATTTTGTAGAACACAAACTCGAAAACAAGAAAGTTCTTTGAGAGACCTAACTTTTTAAAACAAATGTCTTCTGAAGATGCTGCTTAACTTTCTCGACACCTAAGATTTCAATTTCAATAGGAAGAATGTAATTAACATGTGTTGCAAGGATAACCATCCCAAAGGATGAAAGATGGACGAATATAGAATGATTTATTGTAATAGTTTACATAACAACTTAAGGAAAAAGCTAACAGATTTTATTAAAAAATGGCATGATACAAACCACAGTAATCATACCAAACAATTGAGCAACAACAGGGATGTAGTAAAAAAGAATAAAGTACTTTTCCTCGATAGAAGTATCATTTCAATGAAATAAAGCTAGGAATTTCATCAGCACAAATGACATGATAGATTGTAACATTACACTATCATGCTTATAATCCAAATTTGAAGCATATACTTCTGCGCATTTTTTTTTTTTTTGAAACCGCAAGTAGAAGCATATCCATCTCAATATCAACGATGCAAATGAAGTCAAGCCCATCTAGAGAAGTCGCGCCCATCTAGAGATTTAATTATTCAAGATAATGCAACTACTATTCATATTGCATATGAAACATTTCAAAGTGCTCACATCAACTTAAATCACAACTTAGAACAGCTTACCCTTCACGGTTTCTCTTTTGTTTTGTCCCTCTTAGAACATCGATCACCTACTCAGAAACATTAAATTACAGCATCAAAAAAAAAAATCAACAAATTCAAAAATATAAACTACAAAGCATATCTTTCAACTTAACTACCTTAGGTTGCTCTGCAGATACATGAAAAAGATGCTTGACATCAAGGAGACGTGGGTCTATTTTGGCTGGGGCCTTATATCTTTGACCAATAACATAAATTTCTGCAGAGGTGCTACGACTGGCAACTGGTTTAGTTACCTCTACTTTCTCAAATAGCTATAAATAGAAGGTAATTCATTTATCAAGCTATGTAAGAACTCAATCAGTATAATGAACAATAAAGTGGGCCAAACCTGCTTAAGGCAAAATATGATGGCGCTATAATCCTGTGACCTGAAAACCTACCAAGAGAAAACAATCATAAATGAAATGCTTAAAGCAAAACAACTAAACTTGTTTGTTTCTGAAATGAAAAGCTATTAAGAAATTAACTTGGCATAACATTATTGCATTCAGTAAATATGAATATGCATAAAATCTTATGATCTCTGAGAGGCAAATCAAAAACCAAATTAAGCAAAATTAGCTATCTCAAATAATAGAATAGTTACTAGAATGAAGTGTTTTATTTTGCTGCAAATAATTTAGTAATGCAATAGCAAGCTCAAAGGGTAAGAGATGAATAGCCTAATATAAGAACGAGTGAGTTCACTGTCTTTACAAGAAGAAAACCATTAGCGTGACCCACGTTAAAAATGATATAATTTCAAAAGTTGGAATGCATTGGTATATATGATGACCCAGTTGTCCATGTAAAATCATTTAATAATGTAAAACCATTAGCGCGACCCACGTTAAAAATCATTTGACAACCACCTCTTCTTGTTTTTTGTTTTTTTTTCCATTTCATTTCTGTTTCTTTCTCAAACCAAATAAAATCTGAATTTCCAATGACAAAAAAATTAATTTTAATCAAATTAAATAAACAAACATTAGTTTAAAAAAATGCTTGTATGAGCCAAAAATTAGTATTTTACAAGGCTGAATTAGTTGCTAATGCCATTGAATTAACTACAGCATAAATTGCAATTTTACATCCTTTCTCCATGCTGCACTAGCAGTCGGCGATCCATAATGAAGATCATAAACAGTTGCAATCTATAAAATGCTTGATGACAAAAAACAATTGGGAGTGGTAATATGACAACATGGATTGTAAGGAGAAAAAGGAGCTTGGAATAGAGCTAGAGGAGCAGAATCTTATTAACTTATTGGTGAGAGTAGTAGCATAACCTATGGAGTATAAGAAAATCCGAATCTCTAAAAGTCATGTTTAGATTGAAGGAGTTGGAGGAAATGCAAGTAAGTCTTACTTTGACTTCATATTGATTTTTTTGCTCCAATGTAATTAACATATAAATGAATTTTATTAAAAAATGCGAGCAAATGCATTTTTCCATTGACAATTCTCGACTCCAACCCCAGTGAACAAAATAACACCACTCAATAATAAATCAATTTCTCATCGATAAAACAAGAAACTTTAAAATCCCTAAATTTCTCCTAAACTAAAGAAGTGGGTGAAAACTTATTTCAAATCACTTTCATAACCAGCTCTTTTTGTTTTTTTTTTTCCTTTTCAGTTTTGTTTCTTTTTCGTTTTGTTTCTTTTTCAGATCAAATAAAATCTAAATTTTCAATGACAAAATAATTAATTTCAATCAAATTAAATAAATAAACAAATAAACCAACCTTTGTAAGGAATATGCCTTTGGGGCCCAAGAAAGTGGTAGCAAGACGAATGGAATCAACCACAAGCGTGGACTGCATCGTGGCGTCTTTTCCCCAGGCAGCACCAACATTCGGCGATCCATCATGAAGAACAACATCAAAAACGGCGACGCCGTTTGAATCCATGAGTCGCTTGATGGCGGCACGGCATCGCGGGGTGGTAATATCCTCCGCAATGGTGTGCGCGCCTCGTATAGGGCGTATGGGGACGAGATCAACGCCGAGAATGAACGAGCCAACCGGGGCGTGACGGACGGCAACTTGTAACCAGCCACCCGGAGCGGCGCAGAGATCGAGAACAGAACGTGCTGTGGGCAGGAAACGGAACTTGGCATCGAGTTGGAGGAGCTTGAAGGCCGCGCGAGAGCGATAGCCTTGCTCCTTGGCAAGATGGTAGAACTTGTCCAGGCGGTTCTTTCCCTTCTTCGCCTTCCCCATTTAGCTCGAAGAACTTTAACCGTTGGTGGTGGCGATGGAGATGGCTGCTGTCGTCGACGCCGAACTATCGAAGATGGCTGCTGTCGTCGAACTATCGAAGATGGAGATGGCTGCTGTTCGAAGAGCTTTACCTGTTGGCGGCGGCGGATGGGAGAACTTCGCAGGAGACGTAGATTAGGGCTTGCGGCTTTCGGGAATATAAAATAAAAATCCAATGCAAAAGGAAAAATGTGAATTATCAAATTATCTGTCTATCTATCTATTTATGCACCCAATTTCTATATATTTACATATCTAACACCCAAACTTTAACTTTTTATATTTATATTTTATACAACTCAAATCTTTCACTGCCCCGCCAAAGGAAAAATTATTCCATACAGCTTGCTTGCGTGCGGTATCCGATCCGGACCGTAAATCACCTGATCTACGGTCCCGATGTATTTCGGTGGGCCCCACCAAAATTAAAAAAAAAACAAAAATAATTCTACGGTTAGGATCGGAGTCCGCACGCAATAATTCCTCCCGCCAAAGATACCAGCATTTAAATGCAGTCTATTACATCAATTTCCTTATTTACATATTTCATATTCTAAATCTTAAAATTACGGATTTGGGATATAAATTTTTTTTGATAATAAATGAAAACAAAGCCTCAAAGTTTCATGATTTTGTTTCCATGCATCCGAAATATTTCTTGCGCTCGAACTTTATTCTTTTTCTTTTCTTCTTCTCGAACTCCGTTTACTTCTAAGAATTCCGGGAATGCAATGTTGGGATCGTGACTTACAAATACCTCCAAAACTCACATCTTTTTTCCTCCTTCCGGTCTGTTTTCATCATAGACCATTGGCAAAAGTAATTTATCCTTTGCTTTTTCATGTGCTCGATGTCCTTTCTTTTAATTTCTTATATAAGTATTTACTAGTTTTAAGAAGACAACGTCTGGATTGTGACAAATAAATGCCTCTAAAACTCTTGTCTTTCTTCTCCTTCCGATCCGATTCTACCAAATACCATTGACGAAGATAGACAACGTCATACTCTCCCTTCTTAGCGAAAATATTTGTGTACGTAAGATATACGCAGCGCTGCGTACGTCGAGGGTTATTCAGAGAGTACAAACATGTTATATCCGCTTTATACCCTCCTGTAACATTCACGTAACTTACATGTAACTACCGGAATTATAGAAGCACGGAACTTATTTGTAGGTTACAGATATGTTACAGGTAGTTTAAGGGAGGTTAAAGGGGCTATAACACGAATATAACCCCCTTATACCCTCTGAATAACCTCCCGACGCACGTAGCTCTGCATACGTCTTACGTACGCAAATATTTTCCCGTTCCTAGAACCCGTCGCTTGTTTTAGCTCCTACCAGAAAAAATCATCCCTATTATTCTTAAGGCTCGTTTAGTTGTTCATCTTCATATATGCCCTTAGAAAATTAAAGTTCAACGAATTTGTAGTGCCAACCATAATATGATAACTAACAACTCAGAAACTTGGCAATATTCCCTAGAAGAACAACTATAACAAGTATAAATGATTAATACTACATATGCCCCCATATTATTGATTTTTTATTGTTCTTCACTATTTTGATAAATACAACCATCAAATATAAGTGCGAACAATATAAAAAATGAACATAACTTTGTTGAGTGTAAAAATGAAAATTGAATTAAAATAAAAAATATATCTAACAAAAAAATATTTATCTAATAAATCCATTTTCTTTAAATATATGTTCTCTAACTTTGAATAATGAAGTGAGCCCTTACTAATTTGAACTTTGCTTGTGAGTAAGCTCAATAATTGTTTTGCCATAAAATGGCTCTTTTAATTGCTTCTATATAACAAACATATTCTCTTAACAAGTTGATCATATTTTATCTCATATTGGTTGTGAAACTATACATATTAATTTTTAAGTGTGTTTGTTTGTTGAATTTGATGAATTTCATTATATTTAAAAACATATTTTCAAACTCTAAACAAGTGTTCCTAACAAAAAACCAAACATTACACTAAAAGATGCACTGATTTGGTGAAATTCATGTATAGTTTTGTTGATTTCTGGAGTTTTCTTGTAGTGGTTGACAAAATTGTAGGTTTTTGAGTAAACTTATTTCATTATCATTCGAGTCGGTTTGCTGAATAAGTAATGTGAAACTTTCAAGTAATTTTACTAAAGTCTCGTCTATATTTGCTCATATTAACTTTTCCTTATGTCAGGGCAGTGGGGTCCAATTTTAAGATTGATTTAATGGATGATCAAATGAGAACTTATTCATCACATTCAAATAGTGTGTACATTGAATGCAAGTTAAAAATCAATTGAGGAAAAAAAAAATGAAGGTGGCCAGGAGAAAATAACCAAAAATCAGAAAGGTGTATTGAGTTTGATAGTGTTAAAGGTGTAAAGGAAGATGTTGAAGTGATTTGTCCTTAGATTAGAGGGCATGAATTTTAATTAAAATATTATGAATTTAGAATATCATAGAAGGAGCTTAGGTTTATAACCAGTGATGTTGAATATGCGGAGATGGTCATTCACTCGAGTGAATATAGATGAGTTGAGGTAGTGATCATCACATAAGGTGGTGGGGAATCTAAAATTTACTCGCAATGTCAAGAGACACTGGTTGTTAATAACATATTAAACAACTATTATTTGAATCTTGATTATATCTACAATAAACGTATTAAGAGAGTGATTTGTAATTAGGGGAGGGGGTATATAATTATCCTTGATAGCAGTGAAATGATTTAAATGTCGATGCACATTTTCCATGACATGCAATTTTAAGCAAGTTCTCTGGTCCATTTCATTAAAAGATGATTTTCGACTAAATTAAGGTTAAGAATAGATCTCGTGCTATTGTTTGTTTGCATTGAGTATGTCCATAGAGGGTAAGAGTTATATTAAGTGTTGATGGACATTCATTCTAAATAAGCAAATTAAAATATATGGGTCTATTTGAGACCACTTTCTGTTTTCTTTTTTTTGTTTTTGTTTTTTGTATGTTTTGTTTTTGTTTTGTTTTTTTGTTATATATTTTTAGAGAGAGTATTTGGTATTTTTATGATTTATATGATTTTAAAAACAAAAAAAATATATAAAATATGTTTGATTGGATATTTTGCTTATTATTAAACTGTTGGATTAGCGTACGCTCTAATATTAAATTATGCCGCCCATAACGTACATGTCATCTTCCTTACTCCATCTAGCATGAAACATTATTTGTGGGCGGGCGAACGACGAGCAGGTGGCGGTGAAGGGGAGGCCTGCGGGGGCGAGCAGGGGCCGGCGGTGGGCGATGGATGAGGGCGGCGTCAGAGGAGGGTAATGGAGGAGACTGCGACCAGCTTGTAGCAGGTGGCGACAATGGCGGGTGGAAACCATCAGTTGCAACAATAGGGGCACCCGACAACGGGCAACGGTGGGCCGTAAGCGGCTGCAGGCAGGGCCTGGTGATGACGGGCAGGAGGTGGCAGACGGGGATTGATAATGAGCGACGGTGGGCTGCAGGACTCCCTGTTTTCTGTCCTTGAAAAACATGCAATTTTTTTTGTTTTAGTGTTTTAAAAATAGAAGAATTCCTGAAAAAATTTGAAATAAAACATAAAACAGAAAAACAAACATTGTTTTTTTTTTTTTTGTTCGTTTCCTATTTTTTAATTTTCAAAATTAAAAAAAGGAAAAACAAAATTTGATCCCAAACATCTCCTATGCATTTATACCCCTAAGTAAACAGAGTTGGAAATAGACAATCAACGACTTATTGTGTTGCTCAACATATATAAGATATTGTGAAGAAGAATTAAGAGATCCCTCCTAAAAAGATCAACAAGAATTTAGAGAGCTTATACATAGGGGTGTGAATGAATCAAACACGAATGAACAAAGCTTATGTTCGTGTTCAGTTCGTTTGAAATTTAGTTTGTTTGAAATAAGCTCGTTTTTGAAATTGTTCGTGTTCGTTTCTTAACAAACGAGCCAAACACAAGTTATTCGTGAACGACGAGTCAGTTTGACATCTTTAATATTAATATATATAAATAATATATTATATTAGCTATATAACTTATATTATATAAATATATAATATCTATATTATTATATTACTAATAGAATATGTTAATATATTATTATTATTATTAACTTATTATATATTATAATTTATAAAATTAAAATTTTTAAAATATCATAAATTATATATATATTTATTTTAATTTAATTTATGTTTCGAACAATAACGATTCAAACACGAACGAACACATCACTGTTTGTGTTTGGGTCGTTTTTTGGTTCGTTTAACTAACCGAACGAAAAAAATTTGTTCACTTTCGTCTCGTTTACTCATCAAACAAATCGATCACGAACTGATTGACGAACCAAACGCGAATTGTTCGCGACCAACGAGCTTTTTTGACAGCCCTACTCATACGAGCTATCACTATTATATACGGCGGACGTCGAGAGAATTGTGGGATAACATTTTTTGATATGTCGATGATAATTATAGGTGGGTACATGCATTACATATATACATTTAAGCATAAGTTCTTTGTCGTATATTGCATATAGTTGCAATATGAATGATTTTTCTCTTAAGAGATTCTATGTTAGTTTCAACATTTCTATCGATAAACTTCTAATAGGATGCAGGAACTTAATTGGCATTGTGCTGATCATTTGAAGTTGAAATACTTCGTGTTTTTATGTCAGCTAATTCAACTAATGAAAATAATAGACTATTTAAGCTGGCTTTTTGCAGTTGTTGAACCAGAGTAGAAGAAAACTTAATAATGGATTTTAGAGTACTTAATAGAATCATTTGAGTATGAGATATAAAATCTAGCATTTATAGCTTGCATGGAAAGAGTCTTGGAGATGTCATGCATGTCGTTTTGTGGATTGGAGAAGCAAGAAGCAAGTCGGCGATGATTTGGTTGATTCAATCCGATAATTGTTGATGTAATAGAGATCAGAGAGAAATGTTAAATAATCCTTATAGAAAGTGGAGTGAGTTTTATTTGTTTTGGATTATCTTAGAAAAATAACTACTAAAAAAAGAGCAAATTGTCATAAGGCATTTCGTGCGACAATGTGCTGAAGTTGAAAGTTATTCCAAAAGACATGAAGTAGATTTAGATAGTAGTGAATGCACTTGTACATTATGACAAGTTACGAGATTACAATGCAATCATGCTGCGACAGTCATCAGTAGCAAATGACACTCTTTGTGGTGTATTTAAGTCATGATTGTTAGCATGTTTTTAAGGTGGTATGCTGTCTAATGTTATTAATAGAATTTTAAATATTTATGATTTTACTTGTAGGTATGAAATGACTTATGAATGTCATATATCTACTCTTTAGGAAATGATAATGGGTTGTTTTTGGCTCGAACGTAAAATCTGACATTCCTAAATGTTTGAGGCTTAAAGGAAGACAAAAAAATATGAGATTTAAACTTTTTTTCGAGAACAATTCCTAAAAGACATTATATGTTCACAAATGCGGGCGCTGTGGAATTTGGAATCACCACATAACATCATGCAATAATTTGTTGAGCAAAATTACTTCATAAGCGCAACAAGCTGAAAATACATGTCTAGTTAAACAAATAATTTACTCAACTGAAGTAACACATATTTATCGCACTTTTACTCATTATGATCAGATAATGAAATAACCTTTTATTAGACCAAAATTATCAATTAGAAGAAAGGCAACTGAAAAATATGATGAAGACGATAAAACACTCAATGCAGGTCAATTTATAGTGGAATTAAGAACTCAACTCTACTACTATTAGTTTAGGGTGTTGTCTTGTCGCTTTAAAATGATCTTCATAATTTTTAGGGTTTTTTATATTTTTTTTTTTGCTAAATGTTTAGGATGTTGTCTTGTTACTGGGCAATGTTTTGTTAACAATTTTTAATTTGTTCAAGAAGATAACATAAAGGCTACATGGGCCTAATTACTGTATCAGATAAGGCTTGTATGATGTTCAAAACTCAATTTGTAGCCTGTAGGTTTTATGTCAAATTACTCACGTTTTTGCAACAAACAACCGTCACAATTTTCCTATTATGGTTAAAGTGATTTGTACCTCAATTTTTACATTCATGAAAATTGATAAATTACTAGTTGTGACATGTATGAAAATATATCGGGCTAAGGCTCATGGATACATACATGCCACTCAAATACTTTGTCTCAGACGATCTCTTGCTTTGCTACAATGGATTACTTATCAATATAATTATTTTTTTTCTTATTTTTTGGTTCTGTTAAAATTTGGTCTATGCGTGAAAAATGTGTATTTCACTTCTTTAAAGTTTAAATAATGATTTTTTTTTAATGAAATGGGAGAATATTTTGGTCGCTCGAGCTTCTAAAATCTTATATGCCAGAAGAAATTTGATATTTAAGAACATTTTTTTTTTATATATGAAGTTAATATAGGCCATGGAAATCTTTTGTTTTAGAGTTTATATGTATATATATAATGGAAAAACAACCATAGGAAAGTTGTTACATATATATATATATATATATATAAATTGTTTGATTTAGCTAAGCCAAATAAGTAGTTTATTGTATACTCTCATTATGCTTTTTCATTACAAGATTTATTGGATGAAAAGTGAGCTGCTTTATTGCAAGCAACGATACCATTAAGTGCTGAAGGAATTTCACAGTGAATTCTGGATAATTATTTAGTCTAGTCCTCAACAAAGGTTCATTACTCTAAAATAGTGAAGGGATCTGAAGCCTCAAAACATTTAACTGGAGTGGAAGACGGTGGTGTCGAAGATAGCAGATCTCAGTCTCAACCGAGCTTTTACCCTTCTCATGACATGATGCATCTTTCTATTATTTATGTATTTATTTTGAAATATAAACACAAATTGCAAAATAATGAGGAAATATTTTCTTCAAATAAAACTCAAAATTTGAAATATAAACTTAAATTGCTAAATCAAGTGATACAAACTTCACTATACTTGGAACAAAAGTACACTCCACATTAAGTCACAAGCGCCATATTATAAATAAACCTGCATTACCGAAGTTCATACTCCAAGTTTTATAAACAACTTCAAAACAAAGAACAAGGCAACAAAAATAATAAAATTAAGTGAGACCAAGATCTTCATAGAGAATTTTAAGTTTTCCAAAATCTTCTAAACGGTGTCTTCAAATGCAAAAATTTTTCTGTGCGGACTCCTGACATAGCTCTACGTGCAGTGCATGATATTCTTGAGTTATTTTCAGATTATTTTTAATAATCCCGAAATAATCCGCAGTCTTTATTTTTGGGTTATTTCTGGGTTATTTCATGATTATTGAAAATAACCCAGAAATAACCTGAAAATAAATCAGGAATAACTTGCACCGCACGTAGAGGTACGTCAAATGTCCGGACAAAAAATGCGCGTCTTCAAATGATATTCTTCACACATGACTCTTGCCACGTGTTGCATCTCCAACTAAATACATTTCACTAAAATATTTTAACACATCAACAAAATCAGCATAGCCTAAAATGTCAAAAACCTTTCCTAAAATATCTAAATTTCTTTTATATGTAAATACATTTTATAAAATATCTAATTTTCCTTGAAAAAACATGGCCGGCAAGAGTGTGCTGGCTCGGCGGTGCTTCTGGTTCCTTCAAATTCTCAGCTTTTTCCCACGAAGAAAAAACAGAAAAGATAGATAAAGCGCACTTTCACTAAGCTGAGTACCAACAATCCAACATTCAGGTCTCTGATTCCCCGTCCATTCTACCCTCGCGTGATTATTTTTCCTCCATCAGTTAATTCCGAGCCGACAAGATCCCACTTTTTCGCAGCGGCAATTCAAAACCCACTCACTCCCGTATCTCCATAACTAAGCCGGGCTGAAATTTTCGATCTTTCTCCCAAATTGTCACTTTTTGGCACAGCCCAAAGGCTCCTCCATGGCTTCTGCAGCTTCCTGCTCATCGGCTTATGTGTCCGCAGCCTCCTTCGAAAGTTCGAAGGGTTCTAGGTTGTCATCGAGAATCCGGGCTTCGCTGGACAGCAAAGTATCCGATATGGGTGTAAATGGTGAGATTCTTAAACCGTGTTCCTTGGTTCCTGCAATTTCTTCTCTGATTTGATGATTTTGAGATTTGGATTTTCATATTGGGTTCAACGGATTGTGAGCGTGAGTGGGAGTTTGGTTGGTGGAAAAGATTTCTCTTGTTCATTTCTTTGCCATGATTTTGGTTATGATTAGTTCTAAGTGTGCTCCGAAGCTGGTCATGGCATTAGGTGGCAAGCAAAATTTTGTCTTGGTTTGGAAACGAACCTAAATTTATCTGTTATGCTGATTGATTTGTTTTATTCTCATCTCTTGGAGTTGATTCCTACCAAACATTTAGAAAGGTACTGAAATAAGAATCCCAAGAAGATTTGAAAGAGTCTTCTTTATAGCTCTGCTGAGGCTATGCTGTAGAATTTTATCATCTTCTTCTTAGTTGTATATGTTATATTGCACTATTGCTGCCATTAATTTCTGGTTTCCGAGCTTCGATGATATGCTAATTTTTCCTGATGACTTATTCCCATTGCTATAGTACCATACAGTTATTTTATTATGACTGCTAATTACATCCGAATGTATTTTGTTCTTCATTATGACTGCTAATAACACTGGGATTTAAAGCAAAACTGAGAAGACACTGAAAAGAAATTGGATTTACTCAATCCAATATTTAAAAATTGTCTTTTTTTTTTTTTTGCAAAATTCAAGCTAAATACAACTTAAGTCCGTTACCAGACAACCCCTAAGTCTAACATGTCATATTGTTTGACTTTTGAGCAAAATCTTTTATAGCTTTTACGAATCGGGAATGCTTGCTTTCAACTGTCCCTGTGTAAGTTTGTAAAGGGAAATAAGAAGGAGAAGGGGTAGATCTAAGATTACATGGATAGAAGTGTTTTAAAATAATTTGTAATACTCAAGAATAGTTGAATAATGATAATTCATGAAATCAAGCCCAAAAATAATTGGGATGAGGCTAATAATGATGATGATGATGATCGACTTAAGCATCGATCTGACTCTCTGAATTATTTATTTATTTTAATGGTTGTTCAAATGAGTATTTTATCTATTCAAATATTTTATACTGTTTTTTTGAACGTTCTTTTCATTGTGGGTGTGGTGTAAGAGTGGTTTTATCAGATAATTAAGAGCTTGTTTGGGATCTTTTTTTAAGGATTTTTTATGGTTTCTTAATTTTAAAAACATACTGTTTTAGTGTATTTTTTGTTTTTAACAACCTAGTTTACTTTTAAAAAAGTTCGAAGCATCTAAAAGTTGTTATGAGTATTTTCTTAAAAACAACTAAATATGTTATAACAAACCAAACATGCTAAAACATACTAAGTATGTTTTATTTCAAGTAAAAATTTTAAACAAATTAAAATAAAAATAAGCAAAATTGTACCCAAACGGCCCCTAAGGCTTTATAAAGTTGTCGTTTTTCTCTATCTGCTAAAGCGAACTTTTTTCGTGCAGCTCCGAGAGGGTTATTTCCATCGGAGCCTGAGCACTATAGGGGACCAAAACTCAGAGTTGCTATCATTGGATCTGGCCTTGCTGGCATGTCTACTGCGGTGGAACTTTTGGATCAAGGACATCAGGTAAGATGACCTCATGTTTTCTATGGGATTTGCTTTACTACTTTTTATAAATAATGATGTGAGATAATCATCAATTTCCTTCTGTTATTCCATCATGAACTATATCCTCAGGCATGAATCAGTTTTCATCTTTGTACTCAAGTTGATTCATACTAAAATACTAAATATGAGCTAGATTTTTGGTATTTTGCCTTTAGATTTCATTTATATTTTGTTTTTCTTGTTGTGTTATTTGGGATCATATTGATTTGTTGTCTCTAAAATGCACACTGCCATTCATTTTATGTATGATGAAATTTATGAGCGATCTATCCTTGTTTTCAATCTTCTTTCTCTCTTTGCTGTCTTGCACCACCCAGTACCTATTATTATTTATTAATCTATATTTTTTGCACCACTCATGACTGAAATATTTTTTCCCCATCTCTGCTTATTACTTATTCTCTTGTAGTTTGCTTATGTTGTTATATATTAAGGATTTTTGCTTCTAAATTAATATGTTATGCACCTAATAGCTTATATAGAGCTACTAAACTGCTTGCTCTATCTTGCAGGTTGATATTTATGATTCTCGACCGTTCATTGGGGGCAAAGTGGGATCTTTTGTTGATAAACATGGAAACCATATTGAAATGGGATTGCATGTGTTTTTTGGTTGCTACAACAATCTCTTTCGTCTTATGAAAAAGGTTTTTTTTTTCTCTGGAATGCTCTAACAATTTGGTATTACAGATTAAAATTTCGTATTATAAACTTCTCATTCATATTACGAAGGTGGAATCTACTGTAATACACTTTCCCATGATTCGAGGAATGCTCTACCAATTGAGTTTATGGATTATTGCGCTTAATGATATAATTTTTTCTGGGTACACTTGAGCTTATTTCAAATGTTTTGTTTCGTATGAACACCTTACTTTTTAATCATGTTGTTTGTAGATCCACAGTTCCCTAAATGCAACCAAGGGTGGAAATGTGCCAAGCTTGAGCTAGCCCAATTCATTTTTTTGTTTGAAATAGGCTGGTGTTCGAAATGACTTGTGAATGACATATTTGCGCTTCACCCGATCTAAATTGTTTATTCCTTTCAACTCATTTTCAGCTTGAAATTAGATCGAACAATTTAAAGAATAATAAAATTTGATACTTTTTAAAATACAACATAAAAACTTAATATAAAAATGTTATAAATTTCAAGCTAAACAAATCCAACATAAGTTTGTTCATGCGTGACTCGTTTATAAATCGTGCTCAAGAAAAATTATTCGTGTTTGACTCGCTTGCATAACGAACAAACTGAACACAAAATATTTGCAAATGATGAACCTTCTTGTTAGCCCCAAATGCGAAGCATAGGTAGATACTTTCATGATGCTTGTTCTCATTAAGTAGATCATTTATTGCTACTGTTCAAGATGGCTAACTTTTGGATAAATCTTCCTTAGAACGCTACATTAGATACAAATCTCAACATAAAGCATTTAAAGTGCTATTTTTTATAATTTATATGTTTTATGTTTCTTTATGATGAAAAAACTTGCATAGTGATATATTTGATTGTCATAAAGGTCTGTATTTTTTTTTTTTTTTGAAGATAAATGAAGCTTTATCATAGCAGACCATTCATTTCTGCCGTAGGACATTAGCAATCACACCTCTCATATGAAAAAGTCAGAAAAAAATGGGAAATGTCTTAAAACTCGTAATTAAAACTCCTTAAATACATAATTGACCTTAATCTCAGTTATCAAAATTGAGTTCACCTTTTTTTGGTGGGGTGAAGTTGCTTCCATTCGATAGAATGCTGCTACTGCTGATTATATTTTGGGGTGTTTCAGTTACATTTGTATATTTATTCTTCCCTTCGTTGTTTTTGCAGGTGGGTGCTGATGGAAACCTGTTGGTGAAGGATCACACTCACACGTTTGTAAATAAAGGGGGTGACATTGGTGGTATGTAATATTTAATAATTTTCTTTGTGCTTGTATGTCTTTCTAAGTTTGATCTCTATTCATGTGGGAGGTGAGTGTGGATATATAACAATTAGGAAAACATAAATTGATTATCTTATACCTCAAAAACATAATTTTTGACATTACGAAGAAAATTTGTGGAAGGCATATCATATATATTTTGACCTTCTGATCTCAACACATCTTCAATTTCTTATACTGATCTCTATTGCAGAACTTGATTTTAGATTTCCAGTTGGAGCACCTATTCATGGCATACGTGCATTTCTAGCCACCAATCAACTAAAGGTATGGAGCTTGCTTCTATAGGAGGAAATAAATTATGAGTTTACCATCAGCTGCCCAATAGATTTTTCCAATATTTCATTCAATTTTTTGCTTGAATACCATAATCCATATCGTGTTTTCAGCCTTATGATAAAGCAAGGAACGCACTCGCTCTAGCTCTAAGTCCCGTTGTTCGAGCTCTTGTTGATCCGGATGGAGCATTGCAGGCTATAAGGAATTTAGATCATGTAAGCAATATTTATAATTATAGATTTTTTTTTTAAACCCTGCTTAGTAAAGTGACTTCCATTATTCAATATGGAAAGTAAAACTTTCTTAGATTTAAAAAGCTGGAAAAATAGAAACTTTTGATAAGCAAACAAAAGCTCATTTCTATGTTTTTTGTAAATCTGAAGATTGTCTCAGAGAAAGGATAAACTATGAAGTTTCCTTGGTTACCTTCTGTAATTGTATTTATATTTATTTGTAAATACCAGTATTGTTTTGGGAGAAAAATATCTTTTTTATGACTGTATATGAGATGAATTTACTATTCTGTTTGTGTTCCAATTTTTCAGGTCAGCTTCTCTGATTGGTTCTTGTCCAAAGGCGGCACCCGCGCAAGCATTCAAAGAATGTGGGATCCTGTAGCTTATGCCCTTGGTTTCATTGACTGTGATAATATCAGTGCCCGGTGTATGCTCACCATTTTTGCTCTTTTTGCTACGAAAACCGAGGCTTCTCTCTTGCGAATGCTGAAGGGTTCTCCCGATGTTTACTTAAGCGGTCCTATAAAGAAATATATAACCAACAGAGGTGGTCGGTATGTGGGCAACAAACTTTGCATTATGATGCGTTTGATCTTCAAGAAAATCATTATTTTTTAGGGGCATTTAGACACATACCATCCAATTCCTCTGTACTTACATACATTTATACCACCCAAAATCTTTCATATCACATAAAACATACCACTATTTTAACTTTTAGGTAAAATACACCTTTTCATGCATTGGTAAGGTGGCATGTGCCTAAAAAATTGAACTTTTAGGTGTTAGGTGTGTAAATAAATAGGATTTGATTGGTATTTATATAAATCTTCCTATTTTATGTTGATGTTCAAGACTGTTTTGTTTTAGAAATTGGCCTTAAGCATCTGTTGCTGCTGCAGGTTTCACTTAAGATGGGGTTGCAGACAAATACTATTTGAGAAATCTGATGGTGGTGATACTTACGTTACAGGCCTTGCCATGTCCAAGGTATTTGACCCTTATGTTTCGAGTCAAAAAGAGCTAATAGAAACTAGACGGTGGGCATTGGTTGAGAAGTGGTCATGGTTTTACATACATTCCACCCAATGCTTATTATGTATTCACATATCTAACACCTAAACTTTACTTTTTTACATTCATAACACTCAAATCTTTCATATCAAATAAATAATACCACTATTTCAACTTCTAAAATGTGAAATATGTCTTTTTATGCATAGGTAAGATGGTATGATATGTATGTAAAAATTAAAGTTTAGGTGATAGATATGCAAATACATAGGATTTGGGTGGCATGCATGTAAATCTTCCTTGTTTAAATAATTGACAAACACCTCTGCTACAACTTTGAAAATGTCAGGCCACAGAGAAGAATATTGTGAAAGCTGATGTCTATGTTGCAGGTCTGTGAATATTGAAATACAAGTTTCCAACTAACTGTCTTCTTGGATCTTGTGAGCTGAGGTTGCTTTCATAATTTTCAGCATGTGATGTTCCTGGAATTAAAAAATTGATTCCAGCACAATGGAGAGAATGGGACATGTTTAACAATCTGTTCGAGTTAGTTGGAGTTCCTGTTATAACGGTTCAGCTTCGTTACAATGGCTGGGTAACAGAGTTGCAAGAGCTCGAGCTGTCGAGGTAAATAGCCGCAGCTATTTCTAAAATCAATCTGTGTGCTTCTTTCTCTCGATTGTGAGCCGAAAATCTGTTTTTATACTTTTATTTGGTAATTGAGAAAAATGTCAAAATAATCATCCAACTCTTTGTTGGGGGTCATTTTAATCCTAGAGTTTGTAAAAATGTCAATTCAATCCCACTCATTTAATATGGACTAAAATATTCCCAACGAGGAATATTTCAACTCTAATTTAAGGACTCTGGGGACTTATTTAAACTCTAAAACTAAAAGGGTCCAATGTAAACAGTCAGTGGACTATTTTGACACTTACCCTTTGGTAAATATTTGCTTCAACATTTTGATTATTTTGAAATCTCTAGCATTTTACTTTCGCATGCATAAGCATTTCTTAATTTCTTTCCCTCACTGGCAATTGAGACAAGCTGTGGGATTGGATAATCTCCTCTATACTCCAGATGCCGATTTCTCGTGTTTTTCTGATCTCGCTCTTTCGTCGCCGGAAGATTACTACAGAGAAGGGCAGGGTTCCCTTATCCAGTACGTGACTGTTGAAGTTCAGGGAGTTTTTTTTTTTTTTCCCCATCTCCTCAGCTACTTTTTGCTTAATTAGTTTTCTCCTGCAGAGCTGTTCTTACACCGGGTGATCCTTACATGCCCCTGCCTAATGCTGAAATTATAAGGAGAGTTCAGAAACAGGTCAGTTCAGTTGATTCTCTTAGGAACCATTTTAGATCAATTTTTTGTTTATTTATTTTATTTTGTTTATGATTTTACTTGAAATAAAATATATTTGGTATTTTTTAACATGTTTAATTATTTTTAAAAATATTTAAAATAACTAGCATGATTCAAGTGTTTTTAAAAATAAGCTAATTTATCTCTGAAAACAAAAAATATACTTAACAAACTTGTTTTAAAATTAAAAGTAAAAACTAAAACAAAACCAAAAAAAAAAAAAAAAAAAAAAAAGGGATCCTAAACAAGCTATTAAGTTTTCCTTTTTTATGGAAGTCTGATTCTGGTTATAATAGCATACACGTTGAATTTGGGAATCAATTTGTTTCCAAACCAAAGGTGCATGGAAAATTACTTTTGCATTCCTCAAAAGGATTTGAAATGTAGCAGTGAAGTGTCAGCTTATGAAATCGTGTTTAAAAGTGAATTGCCTGCACGTAAAATGCAACTCTACAAGAATAACAAAATTATGGAACTAAAATTTTTTGTGGTTCGGTAAAATAGTTTTGCCCGTGTCTAAGTATTGAGAAATAATTTTCACCACTTCAGAGCTAAGTGCTAAAAACGAGTAAAAAGTACAAATATTTGGTCTTAAATCCTTTCTGTAATTATGTGGAGCCTGATTGTATCAATTAATGTTCACTTAAAGTCCTAAGTTTCCCCGATTGAACTTGATGTTGAGTTTGTCTTGGGGTACGAGGGGGTTCTCCTCCCTTTTTGAGTTTGGGGGTGCTACCCTGAAAAAAATTTTTTTTTTTTTGGGTATCTACCTTCCCAGTGCCGGACCAACAATGCCCCAACACCAGGCCAACAGCACCCTAACACCCAGAATAAGGAGTCGCAACGCCCAAACCCATGTTCAAAACTCTAGAGCACAACACATTAGTGCCTGTAAGTCAGCACCCTAACCCTCGTTGGAGCACCTCAGTGGCACTATCGCGGTACCCTGGCTCAAATAACTGAATTTGAGTTGTTCTTCGCTTAAAGCTTCAGTTTTGCTGATTGAAATGTATGCAATTTCGATATCTCTTCTGCAAAGGAGAGGAGAGCAGCATCTTGAAGCATTCCAAAGTGTTGGAGAGGCTTGAATATGATATAATTTGTATAATTCTTCTCATTTTCTTTATAGTGGATTTTTTAATGTGTTTTGGCTCCGTGGTTTTTTCCCGACTTTGGGTTCTTCCTCGTTAAATATTGTGTTCTTTGTGGTTTTCTTGTTTTGTGTGCTTTTCCTCAAAATTTTGCTTTGGATCTCTTAAACTAATTTCATCACAACCCCACCCCCTTCTCTCTCCCTCCCTCTCTCTCTCTCTCTCTCTCTCTCTATATATATATATATATAGACGACGCAGTTACATACCACACCATTCTTATGCATTTACATATATAATGCCTACAGTTTGATGTTCGCATTTATAACACTTCAGTTTCATAAACTTATGCATGGAAAATTGCTTTCACTTCTGAAGAGGTTTTTTTAAGTGCTATACATGTAAATATGAAAGTTTACGTGTCAGATGTGTAACTACCTGAGAATGGCATGATATGTATGTAAATGCCCCATTATATGTATATAATGGGATTGGGCTTCACTTAGGCAGGCCAGTTAAAGTGGGTATAGAATTATATATGCTACTGTTTATGTTGATTTCTCCACCTAAACAAAGTGGAGCATAATCTCATATTTTGTGTTTATTTTTTTTCTTTGTGACGAGGCTTTTATCTGCAAGTTTTGACAGTCATTTTATTGAAGTGTTCAATCTTACTTGCTGTCAGGTCTTGGATCTATTCCCATCCTCTCAGGGTTTGGAAGTTCTATGGTCTTCAGTGGTCAAGATTGGGCAGTCTCTTTATCGCGAAGCTCCCGGAAAAGATCCATTTAGACCGGATCAAAAGACTCCGGTTAAAAACTTCTTCCTCGCGGGCTCATATACAAAGCAAGTAAGTTGAGCTTTTATGTCTTTTTGTTGTTGTTGATGATGATGATGTTAGCAAATATTTGATGCTTCGAAATATTAGTCATTAATAACATTGATTTAAGATTGTCCCAACTATTCAATATTGATCTTATGAATTAGTTTTCTTCATTCATTCATTCATGTTGAGTAATGCATTTAGTTTTAACTTTATACTAGTTGAAGTTAATGTGATTGACTTTCAAAAGTCAAAGATGCCTCTTCAAAATTCTCTACAATCTTCATCCTAAAGACAACTAAATTGATGGAATGGCCATATTAGTTATGATTTAATGAGTTGAGGGTTTGAATTGAAAACATAAAAAAGTCTAGGACTAAAATGAATATACATAAAAAGTCTAGCACATTGCTTTGACTTTAGTGGTTCTATCCTTATCTTATAACCTCAATTTGTTTTATATATTATAAGCTTATTTTTTTTTTGCTTATATTAATTCCTCTCAACTCATTTTAGTTCCACTTCATTATCTTTTCGTATTCCATAATAATATTTTGTCTAACATCTCAACTTTCATTTTTACGTATCTCATTTCACTTAACAAGAGAGTTGAATCAAGTTTTATATACTATATGCAGGACTACATTGATAGCATGGAAGGGGCAACTCTTTCGGGTCGGCGAGCGGCGGCTTACATCTGTGGTTCCGGCGAAGAACTACTCTTGCTTCGCAAGAAACTCGTCGCCGACAAAGCAAGTGGCTTCGCCGAGGCTCCGAACACATTGAGCCTTGTGTGATTTAGCAAACTTTCTCAATTAGTTTATGTGGAATTAAAACATGCCACTTTACCACTGTTTAAGAAGATGTGTTTCATCTTTTAAAAGTTCGTATTGATGATAATTTTATATGATATAAGAGATATAAGTGCATAAATATAAAAATTAAAGTTTAGATGTTTAGGTTATATCAAAAATGTTTCAGCGCTGATTCGTAGGAGATCTGACAGTCCAAAAGACAAGAATATGACGGGGGAGAGTCCACCAATAGAGGAGCGTGAGATCCATTTATATGATCAAATGCAGCCGTCTAAGCTAAAGCCAACAATGATGAGTTGACTGAAAGCCATAAAAAACTATTGAAAGATCTGAATTTAAATCTTTCGGTCAGGAACGAGATAAAGAAACATCTGAGCCAACCATCATAAATACGCCAACCCAAGGGAATACCTAGTTCTTCGACATTTTCATCTGGAAGTCTCCGCCATATAATATATCAAGGGTTAATAGTCGGACTAGATCAGCCGACTGACAATGTCGATCAAGCCTAGCCGTTTAAACCGATCATACAGGCCTAAAGCCAATTAAACTTAGTTGGCCGAGCCAGAAAGCAGCAGAACAATAGACTCATACATGTAAAATATCAAATATATCTTGTACATCATATTATTCTCTCTCCTTTATAAATAGGAAGATCATTTCATGAATAAGACAATTACTATTCATCACTGTTCACACTGCTTTATCTCTCTCTCCTCTCATAACTTATGCTATATTTCTTGGGCGTGTTTCACGTATAAATTAATATCCAATAGTTAAATATGTAAATACTTAAAAAATTGTGTCGTATGTAGGTAAACGTTCCTTTCTTTTTTCATACAAATATCATGCATGCAATTAATATTTTAACTTATAAATTAGTTAATTACTTGTTTAATGTGTTATGACCAAATACTGTAGTTTCCGAGAGAATATTCGGTTATGCGGACTCCATATATAAAATTGAAAATACGTCCAAAATTGCTAGCTGTAGATTCTTTGAATAGTGTTGATGGGTAGCATTTAAGAATGCGTGGAAGATATGCATACTTAGATTGAAAAAGAAGAAAAAAATTACATGCATACCATCATTTGCATACATGTATTTACAAATCTAACTCATAAAGTTTAATATTTACACTTTTAACCCTTTGATGTCGAAAATTGTTTTTGATTTTTAAAAAATTATTAAGAGTTTTTTTTTTATTTTTTATTTGATATTATAGATTTGAGTGTTGTGCATGTATATATGAAATTTTCAATGTTAGATATGCAAACACGTAAGAGTTGTTGCTACGAGCTGTTATGGGCACACTCGCTCTCATTCAGTTGTAGAATGATATTATTGAATTTGGGGACCACTAATTGTGTTATTTTTGATACCCTTCTACAAGCTGATGGTTCTCGGGAGAATTATAAGCTTGGTGCAAAGATCATGAAATTGATTTTTGGGAAGGGCTTTGCTTAGAATGTCGGTCAGTTGCTATCGAGATTGAATGTGTTAGAGTTGAATATTTTTAAGATAGATTTGATCATGAAGAAGGTTATGATCGATCTCTATATGATTGGTCCTCGCATAGATTATAGGGTTCTTGGCCAGAGAGATTGCTGAAGTGTTATCGCAATAGAGGCGTGTAGGCTAAGTTATCGGATATGGCTCCATAGGACGCCTGAGCCATGGAATGTTGGTCGTAGTCGTGGCTAATGAACGATATTCTGCTTTGATTAAGGATAGAGACACCGTAGAATGTTTCTTCACTTGCTAGGAAATTGGAGTGTCGCCGAAAAATGAGCACATCCCAATTTTGGATTTGCTATCTGAGCAGTCCTCCGCCCAGTCGACATCAACATAAGATGTGAGTTGGAGGTTCCCTAGTGCGATGATAATACCGAAGTGACTCGTACCTTATATGTAATGAAACATATGAGTAAGCTGCTTGTGATCGAATGTCGTAGGCAAGTGCATCTTCCGACAGAGTTGATTAACAACATAAGCAATGTCCGGACGTGACACTATGAGATATTGAAGTGCCTCTGTTAGCTGGAGATACATGGTCGAGTTATGAAAAAGAGGACTTGGGACTGTAACAGCAGGTTGCTTTGCTTGCATAGGCGTGCTGATGGGTGGGCAATCCTGTAATCCTGCAGACTCAAGGAGTTGGAGTGCTTATCTTTGTTGGCTGAGGAAGTAGTGATTATTAGATTTGTGGACATAAATTCCCAAAAAGCAGCCAACTGGTGTGAGATGCTTTAGTTGGAATCGAACAACCATATTTTTAGGCAAGTTGGGAGATAAGTTTGGAATTATTGCCTATGATAAGAATGTCGTCCACATATTGGCGTACGAAGATGCAAACATTATTTTGATTGTATAGAAACAACGATGGGTCAGCTTTACTGATTTGAAAACCCGATGTAATAAAGAATTCAGAGAAGTTTAGGAACCGTTGGCGAGGGGCTTATTTTAGCACATATTATAAGAATTTCTTTAATAGGCATACATGGTTTGGAAATTGTGGATTGTGAAAACTCGATGGTTGTTCCATATACACTGTTTCATTGAGATTATCATAGAGGAACACATTGAAAATGTTTAATCAAATTATATTCCAATTATGGTGGATAGCAAATGTGAGAATTATGGGGATTGTAGTAAGTTTAACCATGGGGCTAAAAGTTTCATGATAGTTTATGCCAAAATCTTTCTGGTGACCTTGGGCAACAAGTATTGCCTTGTATCATGTAGCCATCCCTTGGGAGGTAACTTTGGTAGTGTATGTCCATCATGAACTCATAATTGTCTGATTAGGCGGGGAACCAACATCCATGTTCCTTGTCACTAAAGAGTATTAAATTCCTCTTGCATGGTCTTTTGCCAATAGGAGTGTTTGGATACCCGAGTGTAGGAGGTAGGATCAAGGAAGGGGTTGTGTGTGGTGTAAGAGATAAGTTTCTGGATTTGCTTAAGATTGCACATTTTTAAGCAGGTTGTCATGTGATGTGAAGGGGGTTGGACCCTGGGTATTTTCAGTTGGGTGGTGGATGCAACTGTTGTAGGAGATGTGGTGGGAAGTGGAGATGTATAGGATATCATAGGTGGATTAGGAGGAGGTGAAACTATAGGAGATAGATAGGTATTGGGTGCTAATATGAATGGTGGAATTTGAGAAGTGGGAAGCTGATGGCTAATTAGCATTGTAGTAGATGTGGATTGAAGTGGAAAAAAGATGTTCATCAAAGATGACATGGAGGTACACTATAATTTTGTTGGTGGAAGGATTTAAACATTTATAAATCTTATGATGAGAAAAATAAACAAGGAATATGCATTGAACAGATCGCAGTTCAGATTTGTGGGAAGTTTGAGATTTTTGCCAAGGATAACATGCACAACCAAAAAACCGAAGATGAGTGTAGGATAGGGAAGATTAGTGACGGTGGTCATATGGTGATATGTGAGAAGTGTTTCTTGTGGGCATTTAGTTAATAAGGTTTATGACAGTTTGAAGGTTGTCAATCCAAAACTTGTAAGGAGGTGTGCTTGGTGTAGTAAGACTCGAGTGGTTTCAATGAGGTGTCGATGCTTCTGTTCGACAACTCCATTTTTGCTCAGGGGTGTAGGGGCAAGAGGATTGGTGTAGAATGCCAATAATTGAGGAAGATATTTAAGGTGTTGTTATTGTATTCTTTTCCACAGTTAGACATAAGAATTTTGATTTTTGTGTTGAATTGATGTTGGAGGGATATAATAATTGTAGTGATATTTGTGGTCTCAGATTTTGCACACATAGGAAACACCCAACATAATTTAGAGAAATCATAAATAAACACAATATAATACCTTTAGCCTTTATAAGAGGTAATTGGGGAGGGACCACATATATTGCTATGAATAATTTTTAGGAGTTTGTATTGTTGTTCTATGCTAGATACAAACGGATGCTTCTGGCTCTTAGTAAGGTTGGTACATGAAGTTGAGTTGGATGTTATGAGTAGAGATTGGCGTTTAGATATGGCGACCATAATGGCAGAGTGTGGATGTCCCAAGCATCGAAGCCACAATTCAGCTTGCTATATTTTGGAAAGAGATGTAGTAAATGCATGTGGTAGATAAGTAGTTATTGAAGTGCAGTAGAGCCATCTAGGACTGGGACTCTTGAGAAGTATTTGTTGAATCTAATGATCAGAAATGACAAAGTCATGAAGATCAAATGACACTATGACATTGTTGTCTTTAGTTAGTTTGTTTATAGATAAGAGGTTATGAGAAAGAAGAGGCGCATGATGAATTTGAGAGATTTTGAGCTTACGATTTGGAGTGGGAAGAAGATCCTCGCCTTTGTGCCAAATTGGAATTGTTTGTCTGTTGCCTACCATAACTTGTTCATTCCCATATAAGTTATAGCTGGTTGGAGTTGGCCTAGGTCGAATGTGAAATGTGTAGTTGTGCCAGAGTCTAGAATCCATTCCTTGGAGATAGCTTTGAGAGCTTGAGTTGGAATTAATGGTGCATATTTGAGAATCACCTGTTGCCAACAAACAGATGTAGGCTGACCAGTTTTATGACATATTTAGCATTTTATATTGGATGCGGTTTATGTTCTTCCTCCTCATGAAACATTGGAGTAACTTCCTTTTGGATTTGTTGACTGATTTCGACCCCTTCCTTTAGCGGTGGTTGTGTTGCAACCTCTATATGTATTCAATGCCATGGGGGGTTTTGGTGGTAGCAAGAGATTTTACATTCTCATTATTGATATTGATTTCCTCGTTGCAGAGCATGGAGTAGAGGTCATTCATAGAAATGGGATGAAGTGATAATTGAATAGCTGTCTTGAATGCATTGCAGGTTAAAGGTAATCCATTGAGTAAATACAAGATGACATCTTCTTGGTTCAAATTGGATCCAACAATGGTAATTTATCCACAAGTGGCTGAATTCCCATCATATTTGCTCCATCATTTGATCCCTCATAGATATATGGTTCAATTCATTTTTCAGTTGAATAACCCTCAACGGGTTTATAGATTGTAATCGACGCTCCAGGGTATCCTAAATCTCCGTGGTGGAATGAAGATTAATGACATGAGGAAGAATAATGGATGAGATTGTGGAGTATAGTGATGCCACTAGGTTTTGATTGATAAGATTCAACTCTTGGAATTGGGGGTTTTCATATCCTTTTGCGTTGAACTGTGGGGGACAGCTATTATTGTTGTCTAGGAAGTCGAAAAATCTATTTGTTGTAAATATCTTTAGGATGTGTGCACGTCAGACATGATAGATTGTAAAGGTAAGAAGGTTTTGGGAGAACTATTTTAGGAGTGAGGTGAGAAATTTAAGTGAAGAAGGTATGTTGATGGATTGTGTATTTATGAGAGGGGTTTGGGATTCAGACATTGCCTATTCTTCCATTCACAAAGAAAATGCTAGAGGAGTTGTGAAAGGAATGATCCGAGAGCTTACCAGGCAAAGAAGAGAGTTTCTCTTCTCCTATGTTGGCTCTGATACCATGAGAACGGGGAACAATAACTTTTCCTAAGCTATTATGGGCACACCCGTTGCCATTCAGTTATAGAATGATATTATTGATGTTGGGGACCACTAGTTGTGCTATATCTAATAATTATTATGAATTTTTAAAAATAAAATATAACTTTTTCATGCATATTTTTAAAAAATCAAAGTGATATATGAAAGTTTAGGTGTGTGACATGTAAATACATATAAATTGTGTGCTATGTATGTAAATTTTTTAAATACTAATATTTTGTGTTTTATGAATTGAAATTGAATTATTAAGAACCACATGAAATTAACATATTAGAGTACAAAAAGTAAGCTACTTTATCATAATAAAATTTAAAACTAATAAAAATAGTATTCTTAGTCCTAACAAGATAAGACAATAATGTCTAATAGACCTTTGGTTGATCCACACCAGAAAAATTCAATTTGCATACATACAAGACAATTATTTACATGTCTAATACTTAAAAATTCATATTTACATGCATACCATGATACCACTCAAATATTTAACACTACATAGAACATCTCACCATCATTATATTTCTTTAAGTTAAATGCCCATTTTCTTGCATAAATTTATGGAACAAATATATTATGAGTATAAATATAAAACACTTTAAGCGTTGATGTAAAAATACATAAGAATTATGTGGTTTGTATGTAAAGTTCCCTTATTTCTTATATCGGGAAAATGCCACCTCACTGAGCCAGGATAAGTCGTCATTGGAGTCTCGCAAGCAGGGCTTCCCCCTTTTGATTGGCCACCTTGTTCCAACCAAGTCGGCCACCAACCCCTTGGGTCGTCCACCTGCCCCTCGGGTCGGCCACCTAGCTCCAACCGGCAACACCTAGTAGCCAGCCACCCAACATCGACGTACTCTAATGCTTTAGAATGATAGAAGAACCAATATATCCTTCAATGCTCCCATTTAAACAAGAGATTAACATGTAATCCCTCACTATCCTCTTTATTTCTCTAGAAATAGAGAACCCATTGGCATGTAAAATGGGTCCATAAAGCTCTCCTATAATATAGGGACATCCATCCCCTTCTCTTCCCACGTGTAACATTCAACTTATGTGGAATAAAATGGGGTCAAAGAGTTAGGGAACACACACTCTCTCTCTTTTTCATTCTCTCGGAATCCGGCTTTATTCTTTGGGCACGGTCCAAAGAATATATTTGGGTTCAACACCCTAAAAGTGCGGTGAGCGTGCAACATGCTGCCAACAAAAAAAAGAAAGGTTTTCCGCGTTGAGGAAAGTCAAACGATGTAGAAATAAAAATCAAAACAAAACAAAAAAAAAAAGAAGAAAAAAGAAGAGAAAACACGAGAAGAAGATTTAAGAAACAAGAAAAAGTAGGAGAAAAGATGTGGGTTTTGAAAAGAATAAGAACTCTCATTCCAAGAGGAAAATATCTACGTAGAAGAAGGAAAAAGGAATATAAGCACCTCCGCTTTTTTTTTATTTATTGTTCATTAAAGAAGAAAGAGAAAAATAAATAAAAGAAAAGAAAAATAAAAATAAAGTAAAGGCAAATAAAAAGTACAGAAAAGGAGAACAACTCTTGCTTCTCACTCAAACCTTTATTCGGGAAAACATTCCAAAAGAATAATAAAATCACTCTCTATTTCTATCTAAGCCTCTCCTTCGAGATGAGTATCCCAAGTCTCTCCCCCGGAACGAGCGAACAAAGCCTCTCATCCGGAACCCCCGAACAAAGTTTCTCTTCCAGAAAAAACAAACAAAACCTCTCTTTTAGGATGAACAAACAAAACTTCTTCAGAACGAACAAACAAATAAATTTCTCAAAAATTGATTCACAAACAAATAAATTTCTCAAAAATTGATCCACGGAATATGATATCTAAAAATCTAAAACTTAACCAATAAACTTCTCAAAAATATACCCATCAAAGTCTAATGAAATGACTATTATAAAACTCAATCTAGCTAGAGGCTTATGAAAGAGTATTTTTTGTACTTATAAATTTTTCATTTTAATCTCATTTTCTTCTCTAATAATTAAATAGCTCGGATGCTTTATGTATAACTGAAAAATATTACCTTGTCGAGCCAAGATTAGCCGTCGCCAGAGTCGCTCAAGGAGGGATTCCCCCTTTTGGCCTGCCACTCAGCTCCTGATCAGTGGCCCCTCGTGTCAGACACCCAACTTCAGCCAGCTGCTCACCATGAGCCGGTCATCCAACATCGACGTAACTTAAATGTATAAATAATCCCAATGACACGTGCCAATACATCGGTGTTTTCGGATAAACTGTATGTAATTATGCCTAATTTTTATTATTTACAAGACGATATTTAAAACTCCAGAACACAACAATAAAAAAATAGCAACCTAAACCTTCCCCTAATTACATTATTGCATGATCCCGCCGACTTCACTTTCTCTGAAGCTGAAGATAACTATCGATGTTATCTTCACAAATCTCGTCCTTCATAAGCACGCCACCCATAAAGTTGTCGCCGGCCACCTCGCCGGCTTCAATCCGGCCGTTGCTTCCGGCAAATTCGACGGATCTCCACCCAAAGGACCTTCGCCGGCGAAAGCACTCTCGCTGTTCCCTAACTTTTATATTTACACACACAAAGTAAATGTGTAAATATGAAAATTTAGATGTTCAATATGTAAATGCATAAAAATGTAATCTCTTTAAACTCACCGCAGGGCTGGTTCGGCGAATAAATTCCATGCCTGGAATCACTGTTCGCAGGGAATAACGACAAGCGGACGAACCCAAACAAGTTCTCTGGGATTGCGCCGATCGCCGGCGACGATGGAAACAAGGTCGGGTGACGCAACCGAATCCACTTTCCGGCCGACGGTGCTGTTGACGAACGACGACGGGATCGACGCAGTGGGCTTGCAATACCTCGCACAGCTTCTAGTAGCGGCCAATCGATACCGCGTTCTAGTTTGTGCCCCCGATGTGTGAGTCGCATCTTCTTCAATTTTATTATGTTCTCTTAGTTTTTGAAAATCGCTGAAATGGGATTAAACGATTGGAGATTTTGATTTTAGAACATTTTGAGTGATGGTTCATGATATGCTCCGAGCATCATCAATGGTCATTTGTTTTTTAGGTGGATTTACATTCATCCCTAACGCCTAAAATCCGCTATTTACTGGCAGACCACACAATTCCTTGTCCTCCTACAAAACAGTTAGTCCTTCTCTTCCCTCTCCGGCCATTAATCCTATCTCCCACTCCGGCTTTTGTCATTAATCCCTTTTCCTTCCCCGTCTCCTCCGTATGCCCTCTATTTTGTAGGTTCTTCAACAGCCACAGCGAGCTACCAGCCCGTCTCAGCTATTCATTTTCATGTTTAATGTTATCTAGAATTGGCAAACTTCTCACAGCATCTTGGAGAGGGTTGAGCTTTCCTGCTATGAGGGACGGCAAGAAGAAAATAGATGCAGAGCAATAGTAAGAGAGCCATGACAAGTGGAATTGATGATTCTGGAAGGATCAAGGGTGTGACTAAATGCAAAGAGATGGGCGACACAGTTGTTGGGAAGCAGACAAAGCAAGCAGGCAGCATTTTCTGTGGTGATTAGTGATGAAACTGACAGCATTTTTATGTGGGATTGGTTATTGCTGTTGCCATGTAGCTAAGGGAAGTCAAGAGGAAAGGGTGAGGTAGGTTGCTGTTACACCGGCACCTACGGCGCTTTCCTCAATGGCTAGCTCGTCATATAATTTGAAGACTTATTTTAGTCACAAGGGTAAAAGGGCAATTTACTCAATTGTTGTTATTGTTTGGTATAAATATGGCTTAATATCATTAAGGCTAGGTTATGTGTTTTTTTTAGAGCTTCTGATCGTCAACTAGTGGAACGTGTAGGTTAACAAATAAAAACCTAGTGGAATAGATATATTGCCAGTAGGATTTTGCAATGTAGATAGAAGATCCAAAGAGTCATAGGAAATGCTGCATGGCTAAGTCCCGCTAACCTGTAATATGGATTCCAATTCTTCTCATGTCTTAGACATAGGCTAAGAAGAACATTGTCTCTGGTTGACAACCATCTCTCGGGTATGTGATTGTTGTTTGGAATATTAGGATTTAGGGTTTGGGAAAGACTTGCATACCTCTCGAATTGTAGGCCTATCTTTTATATATTCATGATTGTATTGTTTTGTTTCAGTACTGGTGAAATATAACATATTATTTATGCCCTAATTTCTATGAAAACTCATCATGTTCCTATCAAATTGGTATCAGAGCCATACTTGAAAGTAATGGATGCCAAGAGGTCGATGCCTTGGAGGAGAAATTAGAGGAAGAGGTAAGCCAAATCAGATTGGGAATGGAGGAACGTTCTCTTCCGTGGAGGGACAGTTCTCGTCCATAGAGAGGCGATTCGCGGACTTGGAAGAAAGGATGAAGAAGATCACGGAGCTCCACACAAGCCCTCCACTCCTCAATGGGTAGCGCAAGGTGAAATGTTATTGCCTTAGGTGGCTTTGGGGCCGTGGGATCGAACTACAGGGTTTGCAGCGGACTCAAGCAATAGCCACAAAAAGGTATCCCACAACATCTGGAGGCTCAAAACGAGCGAAAGCAGTCGGATGGAATGCCATTTGGGCTTGTAGAAGACCAATTTAAAGAAATTTGGCCTTCGAGAGAGATCACATGACATCAGGAGGAGTGGAGCGAGCCATAACACGTGGAACAAGATGGTGACATGCGATTAAAGGCTGAAGAAGATCAATTTGAAGGATTTCGGCCTCGAACTGAGAACTATAGTAGATGAGACCGTAGTCAAGGGTTGCATGTAAGTGCACTGAGGCCTTTTGATGAGTCAACCACGACAACCTTTCGGGTGGAAGCCAATTCAAAACCTATGGGGAGGGACAAATTGATTATGGGGCAAACCAGACTTACAAAAGAAGGAAAACCAATATGGGCCGAGGAAGGGAACTCAACCACCACTTCATTGGTGCAATGAGCTTCGGTCGAGACTGGGAGTTGAGATAGGAGATTTTACTATCTTTATTGAAAAGCATGCTTTGCCAAAAGATAAAGATAATTGTTAGGAGACTGGGAGTTGAGATATTTCTTATACATTAATTTGTCTGTTCCATGAAACTTAAATATGGCTGGTATTTAGGCATAAGATGTATGCAGGGCTCAATGACGTCACAAGAGACTTTGATCAACAATGATTGTGGATACGTTTTATCAAGGTTAATCATTTAAGGCATGTACAAGTGACTTTGGTTGTTTTGAAGTTGGGCCTATGTTACTTTGGTTGCTTTGAAGAGCAGCCTATTTTTTATTTGTCATATATTTTCTTAGTGAAATGTTACCCATAAATAAAGCACTGCATTTGCTCACAATCTTAGGGAACTTCTTAATATTTTCTTCTTCAAACTATTTGTAGAGATAATTCTGGTGTAAGTCATAGCATCACTTGGCGCCGTGCTGTTTCTGCAAAAAAGGTTGAAATCAAAGGAGCTTCAGCCTATGCAGTCTCAGGTACCTTTTCTTAATTCTTCCAACTAAAAATTGAAGGATAATTGGTGTGTGTATAATTTAACTTGCTTGGAGGTTTATATTTAATTGCAAGTCATGCCCATACATGTTTTTTGGGTGATTATGTCTAATTTTATTGTTTTGACTGGTTTGTTGGAATTACTTGAAACCTCACATGTGAATCACATATGCAAATATTCCTTCGCTATTTTATAAGCTATTTTATGGGGAAGATTACTAAGGTTTGAATGGATCTTTGATTTGGAAAATCATTATCTTATCACCTGATTGCAATTCCATATATCTATTATTCACACATAGAATAGACATAATAATTGTCCTAATTAACTATCAATTTCCCGTGAAAACTTTGCAAATTAATTAGGCATGGAATCAACAGTTAGTTCAATTAGATCTATAAGTTTCATTTGTTGAAATTTTATGAACATTTTATATCGAGTTATATGTATGTAGATCTATTGATGGGGGAATTAGATACAAACTCAGCCATAAGTGATATCAAATCCCAACTTAAAGCATGCTCGTGTTTTAGACATCTTATTCTTCAAATTATACATTAGTTTTTGGGTGGTAGGCAATTAATTAATAATGTTATTGGTGTTCCCATCTTTTTCTATAAAAAAATTTAGAAAAAATTATAAGTTTCTTATGATAGGCGCAAACATATTAATAATAGATACAATTTAATGATCCTATTGAAGTATAATTTTGATGTATTTTAGAAGTATAATAATACAGGTTGGAGTGTACTTTAGGTTGGCTCGGTGCCAACAATTGTCTGCTGAATGACTCAATTTGTGACAGATTTGACACGTTACAATATTTCTGGTAGAGCTTCGACCTTATTCCACGTGGTCCGCCAACCTCCTGGTTTCATCCTCCGCCTCTGGTGGAGCTCGGTAAGCTCTTCCTTGAGATTTGTAGGGCCATCTGGGTAAGTGTACAACTTGAGTGTGTCACTAGCTACATTGATCTTTTCACTACAAAGAAGTGAATGGAAGATGTCGGGATCCATGTGTTTCAGCTGAGTTCTGATTGTGGTTTTCAATGCTACAGGAATAAAATCACTTATCATTAACAAAGATAATTTAAACAGTATGGTATATATTAGAGGAAAAGGAAAGTGCTGGACTTTAGTGTAACAACCAAATAGATTGAGGGGAGAATATGCTCCTTCACTTTACAGCTGTCAAGGCAATGGTTGTTTAGGAGGATAAATCCGAGCACATATGCTGTTTGAGAGACCGCAGTAAACAAACATAACAATTGGCCTATTTTCACCGCATGGTTGGACTTGGACTTGAAGGTTTTTCTTTTAATCTCACATTAAACACCTTAGGCGACCATCCTAAAAGCTAAGCACTATTAACCAACTAATCTAAAATATATTTTAGCAATCAACCAACCTTAAACCTTAACCTTTTTGGCTGGAACCGGGCCTTCATATTTTGACAATGATTTAAGTAAATCGAAGTAATGACGAGGGATGGTAAAGTAGTATTAAAATGTCAATTTCACATGCTTGCAACAATGGTGATGCTGGTATCCAAGAATTGTGCAAACTTGAGCTACTGAGACTTTCATAAGCACTATGAACCCATATTTTCAACGTCTGTAGTAGGAGACTTTGTGCTGCCCATCTGTGAAACTGATTTTGTTTTCAGTTTTTTCAGATGTTTGATGAGGAAATTGTTATATCTTTTTATTAATTTTTTAAATTGTGATATCTTTGTTGTTAGTGAGGTTTTTCTATCATATGACACACTATTTGTCTTGCTTTTTATTTTCTTTCTCTTTTACTTTTGTTTTTTAATTTTATTTTCTGTTGATGATGTGAATTTATTTGTTTTTTCTTTATTTTTGAACTTTTTAAACTGACGACCTTTCTTTTGATTCCCTAAATACGAGCAGCACTATGATTGAACTTATCTAGACCTCATCATCCTCTCCATGGGGAAATCATGCATACCTTGGCCGAGCCTTGATCCTTTTATTTTATTTACTATCAAGATTTTAATTTGAGTAAATGATTAAAATGGTCTCTAATTTTTTGTAAGTGTGTCCATTTTGGTCTCAGGTTTTTTTTTTCACCTATTTAATTTAATTTTTAATCTCCTAATAATACCACCGTCAATTTTACCATTTCTCTGCATGAAAACTACTATAGATAAGCTTTCAATAGGGCATTCTGACTACTTTAGGTTTAAGCTCATCACTTAATACCAGCTCAAATTAATATGATTGAGCTTAAAAAGTCAAAAATGGTCTAATATAAAGCTCCCATTCACAAATTTTTCTCCAAATAAAGGACAAAATTGACGGCAAGCTAAAATTAGAGAAGATTTGATTTGAGAGACTAATCAAGAAAAATCTGAAATTTAATTGAGCATATCTAAAAATTTTATAGAATATTATAGTCATTTTCTTGTTCATTTTTACCATGTTTAATCCTGTGAACATTGTTAATCGGATATAAAAGAAGGCCTCTTGCTTATGGCTTAAACACCCAACTTAAGTTGATATTTAATTTCTTCCACAATTTACAGGGACACCTTCAGATTGTGCTTCTCTAGGAGTCTCCGGAGCGCTTTTTTCTGGTTTAGTTCCTGACCTGGTAAGGCTCATTTTGTATGAATACGAGTCTGAAATGTTTGGGTTTGCTTGTGCTAGGAATATTTGACCATATAATTATTTAAATGACAGGTAATCAGTGGCGTCAACATTGGAAACAACTGTGGATATCACATGTCAGTTATCTTATTTTCTGCTTTTGCTTTCACCATGCAGTGCTCTACACTTATTAGAAAGTGATACCGGAAATAGTAGAAAAAATAGCGGAAGCACACAAAACAACTTTTTTTAATAGAAAAATAGGATTACAACACAACACAAACTGAATATAACATCACCAATACATAAAACACACAAACAACACCTCAAAATTGCATCTCACTACCTGGTAAGGCTCATTTTGATATGAATACGAGTCTGAAATGTTTGGGTTTGCTTGTGCTAAGAATAAATGACCATATAATTATGTAAATAACAGTTAATCAGTGGCGTCAACATTGGAAACAATTGTGGATATCACATGTCAGTTATCTTATTTTCTGGTTTTGCTTTCGCCATGCAGTGCTCTACACTTATTAGAAAGTGATACCGGAAATAGTAGGAAAAACAGCGGAAGCACACAAAACAACTTTTTTTAATAGAAAAATAGGATTACAACACAACACAAACTGAATATAACATCACCAATACATAAAACACACAAACAACACCTCAAAATTGCATCTCACTACCTGGTAAGGCTCATTTTGATATGAATACGAGTCTGAAATGTTTGGGTTTGCTTGTGCTAAGAATAAATGACCATATAATTATGTAAATAACAGTTAATCAGTGGCGTCAACATTGGAAACAATTGTGGATATCACATGTCAGTTATCTTATTTTCTGGTTTTGCTTTCGCCATGCAGTGCTCTACACTTATTAGAAAGTGATACCGGAAATAGTAGGAAAAACAGCGGAAGCACACAAAACAACTTTTTTTAATAGAAAAATAGGATTACAACACAACACAAGCTGAAGATAACATCACCAACACATAAAATGACACAAACAACACCTCAAATTTGCATCTCACGGGCGGTGGAGGTTGGCTAAGTGGATCGGGATGTCTTGCAGCTGTGGTGGCAACAAAGGTGGAGTGAGAAACTGCAGGAACAACTAGAGAGCTGTCTGTCCAGTGCAGCGACGACAAAAAAATAAGTCAGAAATGGCAGGAACAACAAAGGATTGCTGTTCCGGGGCAGAGGCCACAAGGACTGGTGGGTCGAAAGCTATGTTAGCAACAATGCAGGAGGTTTAGTGTGGCGCGAAGGTGTTGGACTGCAAGGTAAATGCAGGAGATGGGCGGCAAAGGCTGGGGAGGGGGGTTAGGAGTGACCAACGGCTATGGGGAAGGACGAGGAGGGCTGGATGGCGAAAAGAGAGTAAGATACACACTACCTTAGAGTAGGATACAGTTGGAGCACCACCACCTCTTTGGATATAACCCAAAAAATGACTCCACACAGGAAACACCTCGAAAGTGCACCCCACGGGCTTTGGAAGTTGGCTAGGTGGATCGAGATGACTAGAGGTTGTGGCTGCAGCAAAGGTGGAGTGAGAAACTGCAGGAGCAGCTAGAGGGTTGATTGTCTAGTGCAACGATGACAAGAAATTGGGGCAAAAATGACAGGAACAACAGAGGCTTGATGTCTTGGGGCGGAGGCAGCAAGGACCGGTGGGTCGGAAGCTACGTTAGAAACGATGCAGGCAGTTTTGGGGTGGCAGGATGGTGCTGGACAGCAATGTAAATGCAGGAGATGCTGCATAGTCTGGAGAAGGGGAACCAGGGTGACCAGCGATTATGGGGAAGGAGGAGGGCTGAATAGCCAAATGGGTGGAAGATATACACCACCTTGGAGTAGGATACAGTAGGAGCACCACCATCTTCTCAGATACAACCCACAAAGTGAAAAAAGACTTCACACAGGAGTTTGAAATCAATACACATCAAAACTTTCCCTAAACTATGAAAACAACAAATAAATAGACCCTTACATGAACAATAAAAGGAAATAAATAAAAAAAGAAACTTCCACACAAAACGAAAGGGTGGGGAGGTAAGAAATATCTGAAATTAGCCATTAAAATGCTTCCATATGAGGAAGCAAAAAAGAAAGGAGAAGAGTGGCGGACGGCAGTATCGCTCCGTCAGACTCCCGCCCTCAGGCCGCTCCGCTTGGGTTTACCCTAGGCTGGCCGGTTTAGCAGCGGAAGTTTCTGCTGCGGGATTTCTCCGCTTTCGCGTCCCCTGCTCCCGCCTCAGATCTGCTTCCGTGTCAGAAAGTAACTCTGATAATAGATTTTTTTTTTCATCTTCACCAACTCACATTTTGAAATGATTTTACTTTGTTGAATGTGATGATTAAACTGTTATAACGCGGGTGTGATATGTGATTGTATTATGTTAGTTTTTCTTGTAAGAATTAAGAAGGTTGTTGACTTCAATGCAGACTCCATAGCTCAATATGATTAGTATTACACAAGAATTTTGAGGAATTGCAATCATAATCAAAAGCTCTCTAGAATAGTTTATTTTGTAGAATGGAACACACTATTGTGTTCGAGACATCAAACTTATCAAGAAAGGGCCCTTACACTCGGTTCTATCTAGCACGCTGAAAACAATATGGATCATTGATGAAACATCACACAAAATCAAACTAAAATGCATTGTCCATGATGATAACACTCAATTATTGCAAACAGGACCGTCCTCATTATTTTGAATGAAATTTTACATCTTTCCTTATGCAAAAGGGCAAGAACATGAATAAGATGATGTGCAACAGGTGCTATATCGCGTAAATTGGATTTAAAATGCCTTGAAATCTCTCAAACGTTGCCCATTCGTGAAACAGACTGTGTTGCCCATTCGTGAAACAGATGTCGATGCCTCCAAAATCTTGAAACTGCATAGAAAGGATGCTCATATCATCAAATTCATTGCACGAAGGAAAGATGTAAATTGCATTCAAAATAATGAGGACGAAAGTGAAATTGATGTACATGAGGAATGAAAATTCACTTACAGAGAAGTTGCAATGGACTTAGTGACTTGTTTATGGGCAAGAGTGGAGCTTCCTTGCCCAAACTGAATTCTTAGAATCTTAAGAGCTATGAACACAATGAATTTGATTATGGAAATATAAACTAACACATTATTATTTATAGAAGAAAAATGATTTCTCCTGGGTTCTACTTGAATTAAAATAAATCATATATGAAGAAAATTATGACATTTTCAAGACAAGTATTCAACTCATCATAACCACAATTGGATCTGTAATATATACATGCAAGTGGACAAAATATGAATGTCAAAACGCTAAATGATACATTTATCTACATTTTAACTATAAATTAATCACACAATGAGTTATATCAGGATAATTTTCAAATGATGCACACACATCATGAGTTAAATCCAAATCGATGGCAAGACTTTATTAGTCATGGAAGTCTCCTGTAAAGCAAACTCCAACTCAATGATATTGTGTTGATAGTCATGCACGTGTATCATGAGACAACTATCAAAATACTTTGAAAAGCATACAAATGCATCATGTAAGTGCAAAGAAAATCGTGCAAGTGTAGGTAAACTAAAAATCATGCAAATGCATTGTGTAAGTGCACAAAAAATTGTGCAAATGCATTATATAAGCTCCAAAAACTATATAAACACATCATGCATATATATTGAAAATCATGCAAATGCAAGAGAAGTAAATGTATTCTCATGTGATCTGGCAAACATGTGAAACACCTGAATCTAACATCAGAGAATATTGCTCAAACTATAAATAAGATGAACTCAGTTTTTGTTTTGCCTTAAAAAAAGATGAACTAACAAACTCTTATTTATCGGAAAAAAATGATTCCTTACTGGATTATAATAAGGAAATTATGATGTTTTGAAAATAAGTAGAATATCCTAACTCATAATAATCACAATTGGATTCATAATGTCTACACACAAGCAAATCAAATGTGAATGTCGAAGCGCAAGTGAATATTTATTTACATTTTAATGATAAATCCTTTATCACAAAGTAAATTCAACTCAATTGCAACACTTTGTTACTCATGCAAGTCTCTTACAGAGTGAACTCCAACTCAATTATAGTGCATTGATGGTCATGCATACGGATCATTAGACAACATTCAAAATGATTTGAAAATCATGTAACTACATTGTGCAAGTACAAAAAAAATCGCACAAATGTATTATATAGGTATGCATTATTTAAGTACATCGAAAATGGGGCTTGTGCATTATATGGGTGCACAAAAAGTCATGCAATTGAATTGAAAATCATGCAAATTTATTTGCATGCGATTTAACAAACATGTAAAACACTTAAAACTTAATATTTTAGATTGTTGTAAAACTAGAAATGAAGTATTCAAATGTTATGTTGGCTTGAAAAGTCAATTATTTTGAACTTCACCAACTTACTTTCAAAACTCAAAGCAACTAACATATTATATGCACGCTCTTGAGTGGGTTGCTCTATCTACCAGGTACTGATTTAAATCATAGTTAGCGAATTTAGTCCTCTTCCTCGTAAGAATTGAAGTTGATAAGACTGATATTTTTTGGCAATATCCAGTATATAAATGAATTTCATCAAATTGTGAATAAAGAGTGGTTTTAATTTTTTCTCTTGATCTAATAAAAAAAATTGAGATCATTATAGACTGCGAATTATTTGTAGATTGCATTCGGTCTTTAATGCCTTTTATAAAAAATATTTATTAGCAATCACGCTTATAAGTCATATTCACAACTTCTAATTTCTTAGAGTCGACAGGGTTTGTACTGCAATGAAATTTTAAGTTAATTTAAGTAATGCAATTAATGAACCCATCTCTCTAAAAGAAAGAAGGTAGAGACGATGAGGTTTAAAGTAATTAAGTTCAAGCATCATACCTCTATGATGGGTAGGGTTTATCACAATCATATTGCATGTTCGCACTTTCAAAATGAATTTCTTTCAAATATAAATGTTTTAAATGCAATCTATTCTGATGATAGCCGCATTGACAAAATATCTTACCTAAAGCAGACTTTTTTAAAAAAATACTAATTAATAAGGTAAAAATAAAATAATCTCAAGAAAAGTCACAAATTAATTTTTTTTTTTTTTGCAAAATGCAAAAAACTAAAAAAAAATACTCATTAATCATACATAATAATTTATCAATGGTGGTAAATTTAATCCCAACTAATAAAATTTTAGTGTCATATCAGATATATTTCTATGGTCACCGGAAGATTCTATGTAAGGGAGGATGTAGCATGACTTATTGATTGGGTGGCTTTGCCATCAAATTGCACAAGAAATACGAATATGATTGGGGGTTTTTGAATGGGTGATTCATTGCAAAATATTGCTATTAAATTATGAGCATGACTAAAGTTGGTCACCAAGTCCCCTAATGGTCTAAACCCCCCGAGTAATGAACTATAGAATGCATTTGATATGACATAAAATACTCTATTAGTTAAAGCCGATTTAAAGTTATCTTTTTAGATAAATATTCACCAAGTCTATAAAATCTTCTTGTAAGACGTAACCCATGACTGTTGATAAGAATTCTTTAGTTTGGTTGAGTCGTTTAACTTGTCAGGCTAAACTTAATAGGGCTCACAATAACCAGGGATGCTAGAACTGTGAGATTTTTCTTGGGCTTGTCATGATTTCTTCTACTATTTGCTCTAAGCTAAAGCAATATATTTTCTAAATTTAAAATCAAATTTGATGTCGACTAGGCAAACACTCGGTGCCAATCGATTTTCCTTAATTGAAAATTCTCTCTTATCTCTTGGACAGATAATTAACAGTAGGGGCTTGTACATATAGGAAACCTAGAACCAGATGTTGAAGTCATCTTAAAATGATGATGAGATCTCCAAATAGTATCTAATCCTAAAATTCGATCTGCTCTCTGGAAATTTGACTTTGGAACAAACTCTCTAAAAAGCTAGGTGTAAAATCTTGGAGCCCGCAACAGTTGATAGGATATACAATATCGGCTTTATATGCCATTAATGAAGATTGAATGGTTCTTATAGATATTGCATTCTTTGACTTACAAAACATTTTATTGTGAGGCAACTGTTTTTTGTGCATGCAATGTGAACCTTAATTGTATGTACATTTTTACTTCAGAGTTTCAGATATGATGTCACCATGTTTGAATCTTTCAATAACTTATCCGCATGCATTCTCTGTTAAGATTTATTTTTATTTTGTCCTACTGCAAGGCAAATCAGCTACTTCCTTTAATTTCTGAAGCCCTAGCATCTATCATTTGTTTATCAAGGTATCATTCGGTAAGTGATATAATGGGAATAAACCTGCATATAGCCAAACACTCTAGCCATATGATTTCATTAGCCCTTCCTTAGACTAGCAGATCTTTACGAGTTGTTATTCCACCTTAGTGGATACTGGACAGTGCCAGTTCCTCGAAAACGTGCTCTGTTGTTTTAATTCCATCTTTCCTACTATTTATTCCTTAAACTACCTGGCGAATGAATGTAAAATAAGGCATTTCATTTTGTTTGATCAAATTAAGATCTGGACTTGGTATTTCTATCTTGTTTCACAATGGGATGACTCCACTTTGATATTTCTGATTTTATTGCAGTGGGATGTCTGCTTTGCCTTTATACAAAAAACTTGGTTTATCAATACATACTGTTTTTTCCTATATGTTAAGAATTGTTCAACATTATTTGAGATATATATACACTGGCTCTACCTTCATAACACACCCCAGCGCCTGCTCCCACAACCCCTAAGACCTAAAAAAAAAAAACCTTTCAGGTGATTAAAGTTAATAAAAATCATGCTACCTATAACTTGCACGTGATTGCCTTTTGGCACCTATTTATTGGGCATTTCCCTTGTTTTGCAGTGTATACTCTGGTACTGTAGCTGGTGCCCGTGAGGCTTTTTTGAGTGGTGTTCCTTCCATTGCTTTATCATACGACTGGTGAGTTTTAATTTTAATTTGTATTTTAAATCAGAAATGCAAATTATCTCATTTAAATATTCTTTGGTGAAAGAAAAGTGTAGGCAACTATTTTATTATGTTTAATTTTTTTTCAATCTTTTTCTAAGGCTTTCAAACCACACATTGTCAACTTTTTATGCATTTTCCCACGTTCCTAGTCACACTGTTATCTTTTTGGTAAAGCTATTAGGTTTGAATTTGCTAAAAAAAAAAAAAAAAAGTAAAGTTTGGGATAAAAAAAAAGTTGGGCAACAAAGAAGTATCTAATAGTCTCAATAAAGTTGAATGTGGCAAAAAGGAGAATGCTATAATGGATTTTTGGTGAAAAATTGGAAGATGGGATTGAAAGACTATGTTAGAAAGTGTCGGAGTAGCACCAATTCAAAATATGATTGTGAAAAAATAAGTTTACATTGTTTGTACATGCGCAATATAAAGAAAAAAACATAAAAAATATAAGGTTTGAATTTACAGAATTTGGTATTTAGGTATTTTTTGAAATTGTGCAATTAGATATTAAGGCATGTTCTATCTATGAGGCGAGGCATAAAACTCATAATTAAACTATTAAATTAATAAAAATATAAAATAATAAGTAACGTACTAGTATCTAAGTCATAACAAGCCTCTCTCATTCCACTTTTAACATCAATGAGTATTCTAAGTCAAGATTATAATTTATGAATTCAACAAAAGTCTCTCCTACTCCAACTTCAACACAAATAGGCATTCCGATTGAGTCTTTTTTTCTTTTTTCTTTTTATTTTTTCGTTTTCTGCTTGCAGAATTTTTAACCTTTTTAGAGTAATCCTAAACTAAAATTTCAGTCAAGAAGATAATAAGAAATGCAAATGTTAGGAAAAAAAAGGAAGAAAAATCCGAAACAAATACAAAAAAATACCTAGATGGTGCCAACGAGAAGGAAAACTGGTGGAGCAATAGCACGGGTGTAATAGTTGCGGCCTACAATTGCTAGTGGGAGTGGCAACTGATGTGAGTGCAGCGTGAAGTCGAGAGGCGCCACCCAGTGTGATTCGATGAGTATAAAGTATAAAGCATAAAGCTGGATATCAAGGTCACGGATTGCTAAGGAGAGCCCAATCATCAAGGAATTTTACAAGGAATCTTCTTGGCAATAGTAAGATGGAATAATGATCAATCTACAAATCAAACATTACATGATGTGTAACATCTTAGGTGTGTACGTAAAAATTATTATTAAATGAACAATAACAAAAATATACCAAAACATCTAAAAATCAAATAGTTGCTCAACGTTTTGATTTCTCATCTTGACAAATTTTGCATTTTTAATGACCGCGAACTTTGAGATGTTCCTCAGTTGTTTTCTGGTCATGTAATAATGTAAATAAGAACTCTTGGGCTTGGAGAATAAAAAACTATTGCTCGTAGTTAAGGCATTAATGCATGTATCAATTTTAATTTGCTTATAATTGTTCTGCGAAGAATTTCTTTAGCATTTCAAGTAGATTTAGTTTATTAATATAAATCTATTGCCATTGTGGTCACAAATATTTTTTCATTTTTGTGTGTTTTCGTGCTAGATTACAGAAATGTTTACGGTTTACCATCATTATCTTTGGCTCTCTTTGACTGTTATTTCAGGGTTGGAGGTAAGAGCAACGTTCAAGATCTGAAACTCGCTGTGGAGCTTTGCTTGCCAGTAATAAACGCTGTATTAAACGAGTTGAAGAATAAGACATATCCAAAGGGATCCTTTCTGAATATAGACGTGCCAACAGATGTTACTAATCATAAGGTAATCTTTAAATCATTGCTCGGAATGATGAAATAAATTATGGTAGTCATCTGATACAACTTTAGTATATTTTAATTGCAAATAATTTTGGCAGTTAGCACCGTGCAGTAGGTAAGAAAATGAATATCTTAGTTTAAATTCGGATTTTTGGGTATTCTTCAAATGAATCAATTTATAGTTGGGGTTGTAGGTTATTAAGCTTGTATGAGGAGTATTGATTCTGTTATTGTTTACAAAAAGAATAAGTTTTGAAGAGTCGATTTTGCAGTGGTAAAATCGTTCATTGGTAAGATTTACAAATTCTAATATAGAGAATGAATTCTCTTCATTCTTTTGCAAGCATACGTACATGTATAGCAGATTGATGACTGAAATGTATTTTAAAATCTTCATATTGTGGAGTACATATGATACCAGAGTTAACCAAAATCACCCATAGAAATATAAATATTATTACTGAAATTCAAAGGTTACAATGTAGACTCTTTAAAATAAGAATAAAATAGTACAAAACACAAATAACACTATAGGGTGACAACGAATCAGTGGGCTGTGGTTGGAAGGAAATGCAGGTTGGTTTGCATTGGCAACCAGGGAAAGGGATGAGGAGTGCGGCAATACATGAGGCTGTAAGGTGGCCTGAGGGTTGGATGGGCTGATGGTAATATCAGGAGAGGTATGGGGAGGTTATAAAGGGGTTGGGTTGAGATTAGTGGCTGGGGAGCAGGGAGATCATATGCTTCGCGACAGTTGGGACAGTTGGAGTGTTGGGGGGGTGGGTGGAGAGAAGAGGTTTGCAACTAGGATCGCTGGAAGGATGGGGTCGTAGGTAGGGCAGGAGACAAGCAGGAAGGGGAACTGTGGGTGGTCAAGCAGGAAGGGGAACTGTGGGTGGTCGTAGCCCGCAAGGTGGAGAAGACTTGCAGTATTAGGCTGGGCATCTGGTGGAGTTGGCGGCAGCAACATGACGGGGTCCTGCAGTTGGCTGTTGGAAAATGGGGAGGGGAGGGTGTGTTGATTGGAGGACGGCGAGCAATGGTGGAGAAGTAGGATGCACAAAAGATTGAGGGGGGGATAGTCACCACCTTGGAGTAGGATACAGACGGAGCACCACACATCCTCGAATACAGCCCTAGATATGAGAATGGGGGACGTCGATGACTTTCTTGACAGAAACACGAGCTAAAATTAAAACCTAAAACAGAGAAAGTAACATATAAATAGTAGTAGGTAACTAGGGTGGACCGCCTCACTTGGGTAAGCCCCAAGACAAGGATCGACCGCCCCAATGAGACCCCTTACTAAACTGGTTCAATAGTCCGGTTCAGCCCTAGGGTAAGCCCCGCATCAGTCTTCTGGGATTGAGGGAGCTTTGAATTCATTCATAGAAGCTTCTGGTTCTTTGTCTGCAATCCTAACATTTGGATCTCACTGTCGGCTGTACTGTCTCCCAAAGCACCTGAGGATTTTCCTCCACTTGCGAGCATACATCCATATCGATTCACTCTGGTGGTGGTACACTAATGAACTGAACCGAGTCTATGCATCTCGCCTATACTGCTGAATACTCCTAAAGTAATCCACTATCGCTCAACCTGATCGGAAGTGCGGGTAGCCTGAACCTCTCCTAATGGTGGTAGCCATGGTGGTAAATCGTCGACCATGATATTCTGAAATGCTCTCTGTATTGTCCAATGTCTGGAGTTAATGTCCTGTTCTATCATCCTCATTATCAAAACTAATCCCACTGTTGCTGCTCTGTTGGCAAGTACTAGTTGATCTTGGGCTCCGCTAGACTACGTGATTTCTATCCTCGGTGAAGGAGTAGGTGTTTTTGAATCCTTCATGCTAATTCTAATGTCAAATTGCCACAATCTCCCCAACAACAACTGACATACATTTATGGGCACCACGTCACACCACACTTGATTCTACAACTGGCTCCAAATTGAAAACCCCACAAGGCATCTCCAGTCAATGCTGACTCTGCTCTCATTCTTTAGCCACGTCAGAGAACAAGACTGGGAGTGTCTCTAAATCTTGAGGTCCAACTTATCCACCATATATGTAGACACCACATTCTTTCTGCTTCCTCCATCGATGATGAGTGCATACCTTCCCGTTTTTGATGCAATAGGTGTATAATATATGTGATGAAGTCACTGCAAATCACTCGTATCTTCGGTTTGTTGGACCCGTCGAACCACGGACGCCTCTTCTTCATCCGATGAAAGATGATACGCTTCACCCTTTTCCTCGGCTATGTCTCCACATCATTAACCTCCTCCACAGTTCCTTGCTCGATAAAAGGCACAATTCGACTCATCGGGCAACTGAAGGCAATGTGCCCAATTTCGTGGCATCTGAAGCATTTTCTGGCTAGGACTATAATAGGTGTGTTACTCTTCTCAAGCTTCTTCTCACTGAGGGTAGCAGTACATGAGGTTGTAAAGTGGCGTTAGGGTTGGATGGGCTAATGGTAATATCAGGAGAGTTAGGAGGAGCTTATAATGGCTGTGGGGGTTTGGGATGAGATTAGCTGTTGGGCAGGGAGATCAGATGCTTAGCGACAGTTTTGGCATGGTGGGTGGGGGTGGGGGTGGCGGATTTGGGGGTGAAGGTTTGTCGCTAGGATCACCGAAAGGATGCAGATAGGTGGACGCTGTAGCCCGTAGGGTGGAGAAGACTTGCAGTATTTGGTTGGGTGTTTGTTGGATTTGACGACAACAACAAGATAGGATCTTGCAGTTGGCTGCTAGAAAACTGGGAGAGGAGGGTGTGTCTGTTGGAGGACAATGAGGAGGGGTGGAGAAGTGGGACGCACAAATGATTGAGGGGGAGATAATTACCACCTAGGAGCAGGATGCATTCAGAGTACCATCTGTCCTCGGATATAGCCCTAGTTAGGAGAATAGGGGACGCCGACAACTATCCTAATAGAAACACAAGCAAAAACTAAACCAAAAACAGGTAAAACAACATATAAATAGTAATAGGTAACTAAGGGGGACTCCCCTCACTTGGGCGACAACCCTAGCTCCCAAGACAAGGACCATCCGTACTTATGATACCCCTTGCTGAACAGGTCCAGCTGGTGTGGGAGGCCTCGTCAACATATTTACAACCTATTATTCATGAGTCAAGAATCATATTAAAATTTGGTTGATATAAGCTCACAATTAAATATATTTTGATTATATAATATTTTAATTGGTGATTGTTAAAAGAAAATATCTCTTATACGTATGCTTCTCATTTTTATTTACTGTTATATAGCATATTTAAAATGAAATCACATGTTTATTGAAATATTAAATTATGAAAATATGTGGCTCTTAAAAAGATCTTATTGGGAAAAATTGGCAGTGATATGTTTATGAAATTTACGTCCGTGGGACAAAAGGGTCCACAATAATGTTGGGTTTTATCAGGACTCTATTGAACTTGATGATGTAGCTTTTGAGTTGTTTATGATGCTGACCAATAAACTAATAATCGTACATGACATGTTTTGAAATTAAAATGAAATAAAATACAATAAGGAATAAATATGATACAATTGGCACCCGATTCTACAACTATAATGTCAGAAAATATGATGCAATTATAAATGATGAAAATGATGCAGCCTTTTATTGCACTTGCAACACCTATTGTACCACAGGCACTATTACGTATCACACATGCAATTCCAAATACGAGTACTTTTATTAGTGTGGACATAGAAAAATATGCGATGTACTTTCAATGTTTAAAGTCAATTCTATTTGAAGGAAGAGTAGATGCCAGAGTTGTTGAGGATTGAAGTATTAGAATTAAAATCATAAATGGTATGAAATACTCCACTGATAGAATAATTTCTCTTATAACATTTGTACTTGAGGGTTAGAGAGACCATTGGTGGAGAGATCAACACTTGAAGAAGTTTGAAGGCTGATCTCAGTAGCATATTACTTTGGATTAGTTCGAGCATGTTCCTCGTTCTATTTAGGGCTGTAAACGAGCCAAGCTTGAGCGAGCTCAGGCTTGGCTCGTGTTCGGCTCGTTCGAAATAGTTCGTGTTCGAAATCGGCTCTTGAACAGTGTGTTCGTGTTCGACTCGATTTAAATATTTGTGTTCGTGTTCGGCTCGTGTTCGGCTCGAAATTGACTCGTTAAACTAAAATTGAGAAAAATAGATGTAATGTGTGGGATTCGAACCTGGATCAAATCTATACAAAAGAAGACACTAACCACATCGCTACATGAGACGTTATGATTTAAATTTAGACATAAATATATATAATATATTATTATATAAATAAAATATGTAATATATTGTTATATAAAAAATTATATATTTTTTTTTTATCGAGCCATTTCGAGCCGAACACGAGCGAACAAACTGTTGTTCGTGTTCGGCTCGCGAGCTGCTTAACGAGCCGAACACGAGCTGTTCACGAACAACGAGCCAAATTGACAGCCCTAGTTCTATTACACAGGCAATGCAAGAGGGTTTTGTAAATTTAACTGAAAGAACAAAAACAGTGATTCAATGTGAAAAACAAAACTTACATTATTATCAAGATATGCCGTACACCTTATTAATACACCAAGTGAGAAGTGTTATAAATTTATGGCTAATTAATCAGTTGAGACAAACCTTGATTTCTATGCGTATTCAAAATGTTGTCGAATTAGTGAAAGCGCTGAACTTCTGGAACAGGTTTTGTAGATGATAAGGTTGAAATAAGAGACTGATAATAGGAAGATGCTATTAAAAAATTAGAAGTGCTTAATTCAAAGAACAAAATTTTATTCTAAGACTACGACAACAAAATCGGTAGAGGCCAACCGTTGATACCAATCAGTGCCGTGGAATCTCTCATTCAAGAAAATATTTGTTAAAATTTTGGAAGATATTATTTATGCGATGAGTTAAAACATATTGTAGTATTGTTCTAAGAATGTTTAGGGAAGCAGAGAATTGAAGGTTATCCATGTAATAACTGAAATATGAAAATATATATATATTCGCCAAAATAAAAATTTCATTGATGGGAAGAAGATACAAAAGTTTTAGTGAGTGGGTGCTAGGATCAAATTTTTATATATTATTTATTTTTTTGTTTTAAAAATTAAATCAAATTGTTTTTTAAAGTTTTTTTAAAAACAACTAGCTCAATCAAATATATTTTATTTTAAATAAAAATATAAACAAAACAAAATAAACAAAAATGAAAAACAAAAAAACAAAAGTGATCCCAAATAGCCCCTAAGTGTTATTTAAAACCATCATATATTATTTGGATTACAAATATGTTTTATTTCAAAATAAAATATGAAATGAAGAAAACAAAAATAAAAAATAAAAGTGATCCCAAATGACTCCATATGGTTCAGATGCAAATCACTTCCATTTTTCTGTTCGTATATATGAATATCATAAGGCCGAAGCATTTGATTTCTAGTTTGGAGGGAATAAAAGATAGAATATTCTACTTATCTGTATAACATATTTCTCATATATTGTTGTTTCCTCCATTAGGGTTTCAAGATAACAAAACAGGGTACTTACATGATAAGGATTGGGTGGAAGCAGACGAGCCTCAATACACCAGCTATTGCAAGCTATCAAACAGCAAATCTAGAGGGAACTTTTATGGACACTGAAATGGATGTCGTTTCAGATCCAGTACAAGATCAGTTTTTGTTCAAGAGAGTGGTAAGTTTGTCTTCCCCTCTAGTCATTTTCTCTTCAAACAACAATAATCTATTGTACGAAAATGCTAACCAAACAATCTCTGAAGATATTACTCCATATGTTGATTTCTTAACATGGCTCGTGCGGCATATTTGATTCAGCCATTGTAGCATCGACAACCTGAATCAAACGATCAAAATAGTTGTGTATATTTAAAATGTGCGACCTTTTGATTCCATTTCAAATTTTTTACAACTATGATTTTATTAAGTGAAACTTCAATGTTTTGCGTGGATTATTTATTCAGCTTTTTGCATTCGTTTGAGATACATTTCACCTCAAATTCTCCAAACGAAATTGGCCCTTGAGATTGGTCTGAAGTTTTTTTACTTTCAGATATTATCCTATTAAGAATTAGCTTTGGTCATTTTTTACATTATAATTACATCCAAATCTTTTTTTATAAAAATTTGATATTGAATGTTTGCAATAGCCAACAGTTTCATATGTTGTAATGGTTGAGCTCATTTTCTAAATATGTGATTTATGTATTTCGATTCCAATCTCACACTACAAACACAAAGGTTCTTCTCTATCCCCTCATCTTACTACGCATGTAAATTAAAATTGTTCTTTCATTCTACACTATCTCAGATTTCACGTATTGGCTTTGGAGAAAAAGATGACGAGGACACAGACTACCGGTCTCTCCAGAATGGCTATGTTAGTTTGTTTTCTCACATTTTACTTTTTTAGTACATATTTGCTCAGATGCATCTATAATTAACTGAATTAACACATTTACTCTTTTGTAGATTACAATTACACCCCTCGGTGCCCTCTCGCTGACAGAAATAGAGGATGTAACTTACTTCAAAGATTGGTTGAGACATTTGGTTGATCATTCTGCATCCTCCTCTTCTCTGTAGCGAAGTCAGTATAGTTGATCTGTCTCAATTATTTTCTTTTCTAGATTTGTATCACCCTTTTTTAATCAGGATATCTTCCATATTTAAATAACATGTTTATCCGTTGTACTAAATTTTGTTTTGGTACATTTTTATTTTCACAAATTTCTATACATGTTACCATTGGTCTTTTCCCTTTTCTTATTTTTTTAGTTCTTCGTCATTATTGATTATCTCTGACATCTTAATCGTGCATCCATTTATATATTTTGTTTGAATCAAACTTTTTCTATTCTTTCCCCTTTTTTTCTCTAAATGAGTGTTTTTCTAGTTTATTTAATCATGTCAATTTTCTTAAACTTTATTATTATATCTTGATTGGCACTGAACAGGTACTGAACTCATATCATGCATTCTTGGTATGATAACCATCCACTGTCTATATATATATATATAAAAAGAAACCCGGGGATAATTTTATATCATAAAAAAAAAGATTTACAAGGGGGTGTGGAGGTGGATCCCCACTAGTAAGAAACAAAGAAAGATACAATACTCGCTCATAGGAGTTCCGCCAACTCCACACAAAAAAAAGGATCTCCATATACTCCAAAGTCAAAATAATAAAAAACTCCATGTATACTCTATTTCTTTTTCTGTAAAACAGAAATCCCAGAAAATAGCAAAGCGAACCCAAGGTAGACTGAAAAAAGGGAGGCCCACAGCATTGAAGCAACATAACAGACAATATACTTCTCCGATAAACCAGATCCAGCAACAGGGAAAGTTCTCCACCTGAATCCACTCCACAGTCTATCTCATCCAAAGAAAAGCAGAGGCACGGCATTAGGTCCTGTCTGTGAAAAATAGGCCAGTTCCCCAAACCTGCATAAAAGGACTCCAGACACTTCCAATTAAAGCCAACCAGATTGCAAATAAAAATACCAATTCCAAACCGGGAGGATATCCTAGAGCAGCAGCGAATGATGAGGGCAAGGCTAAACCATTTAAAACATGACCAAAAAACAAAAACAGCTCTTATAGGCAGCATAATAGCAGGCAACATAGAATTCCCACATCGAGCAAATAGAGAAGAAATAATCAAATCCTTAACCAGAGACAATACGACAGCCACCCAATGCCCGGGAGAACCAACACCAAACAAATTCCATCTGCAAGCATATAAAACAGTATGCAGCAATAATTCCCCCTGAACCTGCAGCAGAAATACCCAAGCACTTTATCCCTCAATGCCAACCAGAATAGAAATAGAAACACCAGATCCAACCAATGAGTCATTCCACAGTAAAGCTTAAATCTCCTTAGCCAACCCAAAATCAATGGTTCTGAAAAATAGAGGCATTCTATAAATAAAAGTGAAAACCCCCAATAGTCGAAAAATATGTAACAATCCAGGGCCACCCAGATTTCCGTAGTTGCAACCACCGGGAGGCAGGTCCCAAGCCAAGAAGGCACAACAGAACACAAAGCAAATAAGAGCCCAAACAAAAGCCAACAGAGGAAGCAAATTCAGAAAGCCCGGGAAAAGGGAAACAGATAAGAGTAGTTAGGAAGGAAATACAATTTCCTCAGCTAATAGAAAGAGGCAGGGCAATTGGCACAGAAGTTCCCCAAAGCAGCATAGCAGAACCCATCAACAGAAGACCTGTACAGCCAATCTGCAAAGAGCAAGCAAGCAGGCATGTATAACAGAGTAGGAGAAACCACATTGCAAAAACCCCTGCCCATTAATAGAAAAGCAGGTGCAAATTTCGACCTCTGATATAAGGGATATCCAGAGGATCCCCAGCTATTAATGCTTTAAGCCTAGCATCAGGATGCACCCCAACAATTACCCCCAAGTGACCATGTTTTGCAAAGTAATCAGCAAGCCTATTTCCCTCTCTATATGTAAAACACCATTGGATTGTGAGGTTTTTAGAACAAATGAGAAACCAAATCCTATTCAGGATGTTGAGCACACCCCATTGTGGCTTAACCTTCCTAAGGAAAATATCAACTAGCATTTTAGAATATATATATATATATATATAGATATAGATATATGTCAACTTAACTATGTATGAAAAGGTTTATTTCACTTTTTAAAAGTTAGAATAGTGGTATTTTTGGTTTCGTATGAAAAATTTGGTTGGTATAAATGTAAAAAGTGAAGTTTAGGCATTAGATATGTAAATACACAGGGATTGGGTTGTATGTATGTAAATGGCCTGATTTCTGCTTTGTGTAGCATCATCGCTTCTTTAGGATTGAGCGGCTTCAGTAGCGATCTTCATGTAGAAGCTATATATTGAAGAAGTATCTGATGATCATTTTGGATATTATGATAGTTATTTATAAATACTTTTATAAGGGGTTAGAATAAGTAGCAAAATCATCACAAATGCATGCTGAAAACTCGTTTATATTTCTCAAGCATTTTTCTTTTTCTTATGTTAAAACTCTCTTCTATCAGTTTTTTTAATGCATTTTTTTTCAGTTATTTTGTGAACCATACTGCTACGTTTTATGGCATGTGAGAGTCAAATTTTAGGAAAGTTTGCACACATACCACACACAATTCTTATCGAGCTCACCTTGGTGTTATAACCTATGTGATGTCGAAGATTTGAGTGTTAGGAATGTAAATATTAACGTCTAGGTGTCAGATATGTAAATTCAAAAGAATCTTGTGGTATATGTGTAAAAACTCATTCTGTTTTCATGCTATGTTGCATTTCAAGATGCATCAAATTAATACTTGTAGAAAACTGAAAAGATTACATGGAGTGAGTTGGTCTCATAAATTCAGTTTTTCCAGGCATCATCTTCCCAACTTATTTGCCTTTGTGGGACTCTATATATTCCATTTTCAATTCATTTATCAAACTTTTGTTCCATGTTATCATAAGAAACATTTACATACATACCATACAATTCATATGTAATTACATGTCTAACACTTTTAACTTTGTTTTTCACATTTACACCGCTCAAATTTTTCATATCACATCAAAATTATTACTATTTTAACTTCTAAAAAGTAAACAACGTTTCATGCACGCATATGATGTCATACACGTAAAATTTAAAAGTTGAGGTTTCAGATATATAAATAAACAAGAATTGAGTGTTATGCATATAAATTTTCCCATTCTAAAACCAGAAAATTAATAATCTTTATCAATGCCAGCTGCTCGACAAGTTTGTGCTTTTGTGAATAAAATGACGAGTAAAGCTCCAAAATAGTCTCATGACTATCTTCATGGGAGGTCGGCCGCTTCAGCCTCAGAGTTTATAGAAGTCTCAAATTAGTCCTCACCAATTCTTTAAATTTGGCTCTAACAGTTCTTCATGGTGACTGTTTTAATCATAATTTAATAAGTCTCGGGGACTAACATATGATGTAAATAAAAAGAAATCAAGGTGCAATTTGTGTTTGTTGAATGAATAGTGTTAGTTGTTCCAATGTTGCGATCTATGCTTTTGAAAGGGTGATTAGTGTTTGACATTAAATGCAATGAAAATTGTCGGCAGAATTACCAATCTTTTTTATGATCTTTCTCTGATTTGAGTTTTTAATGCTGCTGTCGCTCCCCTCTCCTTTTCGGTTTAGGGGAAGTGGAGATTTCATCATATATATTGTATATTTATATATTTTATATTTTAAATAAATCTAATATTGGTCCTATTTCATAATTAATTTGTGTCCCTTGAAATCCTCGTGTGTTCTTGCTCTTGTTGGCCTAACACAACTGCCTTTTTTTTTTGTTTTTTTATAAAAAAAAATTGTTTTTCTATTTTTTTAGGCAATGAGAATGCTCGAATCTGGCAAAATGAGGGTATTTACATACATACATGCGGTGTCTGATCCTAACCGTAGATGTATTTCGGTGGGCCTCACTTAATTTTTTTTTTAAAAAAAAACCGAAATACATCCTGATCGTAGATCACCGTGATCTACGGTCAGGATCAGACACCGCATGCATCTCTGCATGCGTGCGGTGTCCGTATGCAATAATTTTTCCATTTCTTGGTGTGTAAATGAGCCGAGCCTGCTCGTTAACGAGCTTACCATCCAAGCTTATGGAGTCATGAGATAGAGTGATTAGCTTACTGCTAGTTTTCTGGTTAATTTCGGTTGCAGCCTCCTTCGGCCACCAATATTTTCTCCTATAAAAATTGAGTTTTTAGTTCAATCTTGCAAGCCGACTCCTACCACTATGAGCCAAGCTCTCGAGCTCACAATTTGACAAAAGAGCAGAACTTGAGCTTGAGCTGGGCATGGCTCGACCTTGACTAGACTCATTTACACACCTACTCATTTCTTCCAAAAAGTAACATATTTAATTCCAGAGTTTTATTTCTTACATTTATAACACCCAAAAAGTTTCAAAACACACATCAACAATACCAATTATAACTTTTAAAAAGTGAAATGCCTATTTTCATGCATAACTAGAGTAATATGTATGCAAAAATTGAAGTTTTAGGTGTTTGAAGCTAGAAGTTTTAGGTGTTTGAAGCTAGAAGGGCGTTAGATATGTAAATACATAAGATACTCGTGCTATTTATGAAAATCTCCCTTGAAAATAATAAAGATTTTTTGATGCAACATCAGAAAGAGCTGATGAGAAAAAAACGACCTCCGATGGATCACAGTCGTTGTCAGAACACAGCTTGCTTTTGAACAACAACTGAGATCCATTTGAAGGAGTGGAGCAGAAAAAAGATCATCTCCAGTGGATCACAGTCATTATCCAGACTTAGCTTGAATCTGGACTTCGAACATAATATATTTTTCTCATTAGTTAATGTTAAAGTGGTTATAGATTTCAAATTTTTTGTGTAAATGTCCACCATCATTAAGTGCTTTCATAATGGAGCAAATTTTGTCAAAAAGGTACTGAAAATTGGGCCTAATATATATATATATTCTTAGTTGAATGTTTTTGAAATCTTCTAATTATTAGATTTGCTTTGATGAGTGTAACTAGGGTTAAAATTGAGCATAGTAGAGATGAGCATAATATAATTTGGATTTGAATTTAGTCCTAAAAAATAATTTTATTTATTGCTCATATTTTTTATG